GGAACAGAATAAACAGTTGAGAGATCAAGGGCCAACACAGACTTCATCCTAAGCCCAGAGAAAGCCTCTTATTTTGCAGCCATCAGAACACACTGTGGACACAGGAGCTAGAAGATCATGTTGCAGGCTAACAATTTATATTTTAAAACATGAACAACAGGCAGATGGGATATTCTTCAAGGGGAAACCTCAGTCTGGCCTACTGGGAATGTTCTGGCAGGGCTCTGTCTGTAACACCCTTGCCACGCACTCAGAGCCCGGTAATGTTCTATATAATTCCAGAGTGAATCACTGCATCCCATTTAACCTAGAAGTAATGAAGACCCTCAGCTAACACAAAGAGAGTGGAAAAGCCCTTAGAAGAAGGGCTGGAAAGCAGTTTCAAGAAACAACTCTATCACACTTAAAGGATTCAGGACAATACATATGTATATAACCAAATGTGTCGAATTTTTAAATTTGAAGTTTTAGTCAGGTGTGTTCTCTTGCTCTGGTTATTAGAATTTAAGATCCACATAAAATAAGTTGTGCTTGTTTTCCTTAGCAGGCATAGTATTAAATTTCCAATTCAAACAAAACCAAATGACTCCTGCAAGCAAGTAGCCTTTCTGGAGGTACTGGTAGGACTACACACAAGCAGACACGCAATTTTTGAAATAAATATTAGTTTTAAACACTTATAAATACTATAGCAGACAGAAATTTATTTGAGTTGGAGGGAGTGTAAAGCAGAGTTAGCTTTGATATGAGATATATGTGCTAAACAGGATACAGGTAGCCCCAGTGCTTCATTGGGCTGGATCCACTTCTCTATTTCAATACTGTGTGCAAGCAAATAAATCTTTCTTAGTATATTCCCTGTGCATCCAAGTTATGCTGCTGCTTTAGTGATGTGAATTATGGACTCAGTGCCAAGCTAGAAATTTACTTTGCATCTTCAGGAGGTGGAACAAGTCGTCTTGACTCACCAGTGGGTTAAGACTATTGGAGAATGTGGTGATTGGTGCTTTCTCAATCCTCTTTAACCATATTCTCACCTGCACATGTGAAACTTCTTATCATAGCATCTTGTTTTCTGGCTTTGAACCACTATCAAAAGTGAGTTATCGTTATACTCACATAAAAATGACACGTGTGCTTTCCAGAAGTGTAGGACAATTCAGATCTCAAAACCACAATTTTTCACAGCAAAGCATGTCCTTCATTGTGCTTGTATAAAAATATTTACTCGAAGTGGGCATACCTTATTCTTTTTTCTGGCACTATCTGCAGTTGATGGATGATTCATTAGGGGAATTATCTTTTTCTGCCCCTTAGTTGCAATCCTACTTGTCAGAGGCTTGTAAAATTAAGTGGTCTAAGTAAATTACCAGGTAAGGGTTTGTTTTTGTTTTTCTGTAGGTATACACTTTGCCATCACAGATCTTTGAATCTGAATTAAGGAGAATATGCTATTGACAGTCATCACAAGGAGGCTAAGTAGGCATAGAACATAAACTGCATTCTCTTTCCTGGAGTTGGTGTTTCCAAAATAGACCTGTGACAGCAGTAGACAATGGTGCATTAAGAGAACATTCACCTGTGGGACTGCAAACTGTTCAGCTTCCTGCCCTGCATCCTCTCTTCTGGGGTCACTCATCCAGGAATGCTAGCAAATTTCCTTTTGTAATAACTAACTTGAAAAGAAGAAATTTTTATTTATTTATCTTTTCTATTTGTAAAGTCATGTATGATAAATAAATTCCAAAAAGAAATGTCTAGCTTTCTGGACACTTGTTTGTATCTTTCCTGGTATTCAGCTTGGTGCCTTCAGTCCTGCCTTGTTTCTCTAGGCAATCTGATATTCTGAAGTGTTCTGTACAGCTCAGCAGAAAAAGGAATTGGCTTTGTCAAAGTCACTTAATAGCTTTTAAATCCCAATGGATTACAAAATTCCAGGACATTATGCTGGCTGTACTATATGCTTGATCTCCAAGACTTGAATGTTCTTTGAATTGTTTCTCAATAACTATGAATAGAATTGTTAGTTAAAGCCAAAGCAGTGAGAACAAGTGGTATCACAATAAGAATAGAGGGATGAGAGTTAAATAAAGTGTGGATTGAGGAACCGGTTAAAGTTGTGCAGTAGTCTTCATTAAGTCACCTAATGAATTGCATCACTGAAAGACAGTCATCACTTCCCTAAGTGTCATTCCTATAACCATGTTTACTCCCAGGAAAGCTCAGCTGGTTTGGAAGGTACCAGGCCATGAAGCCACGTGCCACGAGTCTGCTGTGAAGTTCTGCAGTGGCATTTTCATTTGGAAAGGGTCAGATAGCTCACACCATTTCATAGCCTGGGACACTGATGCAACACTGAAAGCTTTGAGAAACTGTAGTTTGAAAAAAGATGTAACTCTCTTATTCTAAATATAGAAGATAATCAAAACTGTCTAGATACAGATGATCTAAACAGACTCCAATCATAGCAGATTGCTTCAGCAGAACTTGTTATCTCATGAATGGAGGCCTTGTGGTAATTCCAAGTTTATCCTTCAAAATGCTACAAATATTAATACTACTGGAAAGAATTTTAATCTTAATATAAAAAAGCAGATCATAAAACCACTGTCTGTCATCAAAACTATTTATTGAAAACAGCTTGACTCAGCAGTAGCAGCATCTTTTCCTTGTGTATTTCACTGTGACAATGTCTGCTTAGTGTCTGCATAGAGTGAATGAGATGAGAAAACGGTTTGTCTCTCAGCAAATTGAGTGCCATAAAAATGTCCATTTTCAAGAGAAACTATATTAATTATTTGAAAACTATGATCTTTGGGTAATACTTACTTTTTGTGTCCATCAGTGCAGCATCAAGTAAGTTGATTCACATATATATATTTGCCTGATCTTTCTAGGATCCATTTCTTCTTAAGAAGTAACCTTCCTCACAGTAGTAATCAGATTTGTATTTTAAGACTTCTCAGCTGCTGGGGTTGTTGCCATTGAACTTTTAAGATGACAAATGAGGAAAACTCATTTATTTGAGTGGCACAAGGTGAACATTTACCATAAATATCTAAAATATGCGATGGAAATGGCTGAGATTTTTCTCCGAGTTCCTCTCTGAGTTTAGTATAGTGAACCTGGAACAGTTTTACAAACACCAGTAGCAGCTGCACATAAATATATGCCCATCACTGAATTCATCCACTTAAGCTTAATTCATTAAACGCTCATTTATTTACAGGTTTGACTTTCTAATACTTAATGCTAAATTTCCATGCAAAGTTCATGTGCATTTACCTGTAAGTGCCTCCAGCTTTTTTTTTCTGTATCCTTCCAGGATGCTTGTAATAATTTTTAATGTTTGTAAATGACTTAATGCAGTGCTAAGCCTTTTTAGAAACATATCACCAGAACAAGACACTGCTTGAGGCAGACAAATTAAGTCTTATAAACTAGATCCTAACCTTATAATGATCCAAACCAAATGTCATCCTAACCCTCCACCATGTAGTGCCCTGAGGGTGGAGGTGCCTAGAATCTGTGTTGTGAGGATTGGTAAGCTCTGGTTTCAGGTCTCTTCTGAACATTTTTATTTCCTTAAAAGGAGGAAGGTTCTGCCTTCCTGAATGGGAGCTAACATTAAAAAAACTCCCATCTTTTTATCAAAATAGATGTGTGTTGCGGAGATCCTTCAGTGCAGCCTTACTTATCCCAATCTGTGCAGAGAAAAGCTTATGTCTCTACCTGCATTTCACCCTGTGCAGGTCAACAGAATCCCTGCCCAGAACCACTTCCAATATTTTCTTCTCCCTTCTTCTTTTTCTGGGTGCCCAGAATTAGGGGTTTCGCTGTACAGCTCTGCCATATCTATAGCACTTCTTGTTTTCTTTCAGCTGAATAGGAGAAGATGATAAAACTAAAATTTAGGAAGCTATTCCTTATCAGTGTAGGAGCACTGAGGAAAGAGCCCAGAAAGCAGCACATCAGTTCTTTGCATAAGATTGAGTCAAACCCCACAACAGCCAAAATGTTATTCTTTAAAAAAAAAAGATGCATTTTTAAGAATAGACCATTTGGGAAAATTCAGTCCATGTCTTCTTAAGGTATCAAATATGTCTAGAATTTACAGAATTCAGTTCCAGGGAAGATTTTTATCCTAATCTACTGGGCTTCCTTATTCTGTTTCTGAGAGATCAGAAATTAAATAGCCTAAAGAAACAGTCAAGAATAAAGGGAGGCTAAAGGTAATTTCATATTGACAGTTGGGATATATTTATTTTTTTTTAGCTATTTGTATTAAATAGCTAAAAAAAGAACTATGGAAATTTTAAATAGCAAAAGAAGGGGAATTCCAAATATCTGACAATTTTAAGCTGCTGAAGTCTAACAAAATAAAAATGTTTAGTAGGAATGGCTTTGTTGTATAACTAGAGTAAAACACCTGCTGAAATATCTAGTAAGCACAAACTTGCTTTATATATCTCAACAGACACTAAAAGCAAGAACAATTAGTCAGAAGACTGAGAGAAATAATGAATATTTTAAACCAGATTAATTTAACTACTAAGTTTTATGGTAGCCTATGTTTTGACTTCTTTCATATGAAAGGTAACATGTAAATGACCTTTGCAACTGAATTAGTCCTGCTTTTCACCTCTGCAAGTAAAGGCAAAAGTTATTCTCTATGGATAAAAAAAAATTCATGATTGCTTTCATGATCATTTTTTCCCCTGTAAACTTGAGTATCTGCATTTGGGTGCAAATTTTGCTTTTATGTGTAGAACTTTTGTCTGGAGATGCTTTTGCAATCAGAATGTAGCACAAAATTGCTTCTATTCCAGAAATCCTTTGCATCTTCATGTCTGGGATAAGAATTTTGTACTGAGCAACATGTGTAGAATGTGTAGGCATTGGACATCAAAATCTAAGATGCAGCGTTTACTCAGGTGGCTTAGCAGTTGCTTGGAAAATGCTTTGTTGATAAGTATTGTTTTTTTTAATTGCTATTACAGACGTTTACAGCCTGGTGCAATTCCCACCTCAGGAAAGCAGGCACACAGATTGAGAACATTGAGGAGGACTTCAGAAATGGCCTCAAACTGATGCTCCTCTTGGAAGTTATCTCAGGTTAGCTAAAATAAATTTTTCTATGTATTTACAACACACCAACTGAAACACTTAAAAGAACAAAAATTGTTAATGATTCAAAACAGTGAACACAAACTTTAAACAAACTGCAAAGTGAGATAGGAAACATATTGTAAAGCAAAAGGGAGGGGAAAAATAAAGCTCTGCTTTTTCCTTTTCTCCAAAATTTTTTGATTTGTGCTTGTGTTCAGGACATCATAGTGTATCAGGGTATCATTGACAATGCTGTTGTTGGACAAACCAAGAACATTGAAGATATTGTCTTAGCCCCTAACAATTAAAAAAAAACCTTTACACTTAGGTTGCAAATTCATTTTATTCTGCTTTTGTCACGAACATTTTGATTTGCTTTTAATGACTTTGTTGAATGGACTAGCGCTTTTGAAAGTGAATGCCTAAAGTGAACCTAGATCAATATTTACTCACAAATAAAAGGTTTGATTTTTCAAAAGAGTAGAACATCCAATAAATTCTTTTGCTAACTGATGTAAACTCACAATGTCATCTTTGTTATGCATTATTCAGAGGGGCAGTCTCCAAGATAGATCAGAATGCCCCTGAATGGGAAGGGAATAGCTGAAGCTACAAACACACGAGACAGTTTAGATTTTTGCTGTAGATTTCAGTGTGGAAAGAAATTCTTCAGATGGTCATTTCTCATGTAATGGAGAATCTTTCTAGAAATTATTATTCCTTGCGATCATTTGAAAAGATAAGTTTGTTCAAACACATCAGCCTTATGCTCTGAAATGAGCTGCTATGGTGTGCTGGATGAGGTCATTAAAAACCATTCTTCTTGGTCAGATGTGGAAGGATGCTATGGTTGATCTGCTGGATAGCAGCCTGTCTTTACAGTCAGGCAGATAAGGATGATAAGCTCTGAAAACATTCTGCCTCCATGATATTCAGCTACTGGAAAAGACAGTAGCAATGAACCAAAAGCTGAGTAGCAGGAAGTACACATGTCTTCCAGGATATTTTGGGCAATCAACAATTTTACTCTGGCTTTACTGCTATATCAAAAAGATCTAAGTCAGATATCTCAACATTTGAATTTTCTTTTCAGGATTTTGTTCAAGCTTCTTTGGCATTCTTTCAGAAAAACATCTGTTACAATAACTGCTAACTTTTAGGTAGAGTTAGGGCACATCCACTCTTGATTTCTAATCACTTGTGTGTTTGTAGCAAAGTGTATGTAACAACACATTAAATTTGTGCTTCTGCAGGGGAAAGGCTACCAAAACCAGACAGAGGGAAGATGCGCTTCCATAAAATTGCTAATGTCAACAAAGCTCTGGATTACATTGCCAGCAAAGGAGTGAAACTTGTGTCAATTGGTGCAGAAGGTATGTGACAGATTTTGACAGTGCACCTTACTCAGGTCACATTACAAAGAAGTTTGATGGAGACGCCCACATTATGTGCACTCTTCTCTATATATGGGTGCCTCCAAAATCCCTTAATATTGATTGCAGAACTGCATCTGTAAAAGGACAAGAGATGGAAATTTGTGGACAACAGGAGAGAGGGGAATAAATGAGCACTAAGATTATTTTCTCTCCAAGGTTAAATTGAATTGTTTATGTTTCAGTGGGTGCTCATATAATGTTTTTTTCTTACAGAACATTCTGTTGTTCTTGTGCATTATTAAAAATAAGGAGCTCCTTTAGAAACCAGATTGGATTCCTGGGTGTGGTTTATACAATCTGGAGTCTTTAGGAGATATTCAGACAAGACAAAGGCTGACATCATTATTGAGTGACTGGAACCTTCTCCCAATTCATTATGAGATTTTCTGTGGCTGTGTTTCTAAAATTCAGGTGTAGAGTTAAGGGAATCAGAAGAAACTGTAGTAGCTGGGGAGGGACTGAACACATGAAGAAAGTGGAGTGGGATGCTATTTACTAAAGTAATGGCTTTTTTGTTCTGCTGTTCAGGTAGCTAAGTACCTGTGGTTGGCTAGCTAGATTCTGAGAGATGTAAACTGAGCTAAAGAAGGTAGGCTCTCACTGCAAGTGAACCTGTGCCTCCCCAGGAGATTAAATTAATTACTCAAAAATGAAAAAGGTATGTGTAGAACTCATTGCTCCATGAAGATATTTGCACAGTGGTTTTCATAGCCATTAGCATACAAAGAATAATGTGGCTTGCATGATATCCAACTATTTTTGATTGCATAGCTTCAATCATGTGCTTTCTGTGCTTTTTTTCCCACACTCTAACTTGTTCTTAGAGCAAAATTTTGACCGTAACCTCAGTATGATGATGATAAGCTCTCCTATTTTTATTGACATTGTTAGGCTTCTTTTCCTGTTTCCTATTTTTTCCAGGCTTATTTCTACAGGCTTACATGTATCCTTACTCTGGCTTCCAAGACTTGATCCCAAGGAGCTTACTGTAATTGTGGATTGAWCAGGAGTTTCATTTTGTGGGATAAGGATATCTGTAGAAATAATGGAGAGATCTGTCAGCATTCTTTGATCCCACTATGGATTGATGTAGCCCACTTGACTTCTCAAGTGTTGTTTACCAAATCTGTTCAGTTTCTAGATCTAGAAACCAAATATCCCAAGAAATGTGCTCCATGGGCAAAGCATTTGTTTGAACTCAGTCTTTATTTATTTGAGACTGAACTGGGGGGGGGGGCGCGCGCGGCACCTGAGTCCAAATCCATACCATCTATCTTTAGGCACATAACAGAGACGTTTTTTTTGGAATATACCATCAGTGTGGAGAAATGGGAAATTCCCAGAGGCACTTCAGATCTCAGAAGAGCTCTACTGCAATTCAGAGCTATCTCCATCAGTTGTACAGCCATTGCTCTATTCAATGAAGTGGGGTGGAAAAATACGCTGCTGCCTTCAGCCTCTGCCGTTAAGGTTCTTCTGAGAGTGACAAGGCATCGAATGGGCAGCAGAGGGTACTGAAGAGACAAGTTATGTGTGGAAATGAAAATTAGGAATACATAAGCTTGTTTGATAGGTGATGAAGAATTGCTGAGGTCACAGAGCATAGAGAAAATGAATGGTAATTTCTGTCATGTCATCCAGGAGACTCTGAGGCTTCTTACCTAAAAACAAGAGTGTAACAAAAGGAGTATTTTGCGGGACAGAGTGGCTGTTCTCTCTGCTCACAGTTGCACAAGGCTGGAGTGTCTTAAACCAAGACATATAAGCTCATATCTGCTCCTGCAAGGAGCAAGCCATGCCTCTGCACCCCATTTCCCTTATTTTGCCCTGTTTGTTGCTGCTCATTTCTGCCAGGATGCTCAGGCAGGGAAACAGCACTTGAGCACTTTCTGAAGGTAAAGCTATTTGGGATAGCTCAGATTGGACATTGAAAACATTTCAACTGACCCTGTTGTTCTGCTTGGAACCCTTGGTGAGGGTTCAGATGCTCTGTGATTTAGGTGCTCTGTGATAATTGCCTTGGGAGAGGAGGCAGGAGCAAAGGGCAGTAACCTCTTCCAGCTTTTCAGGCACTTGCTGCAAGTTGACTGTCCATACACCCAGTATTCATKTTTGTATGTAACAGCAAGTAACATCACCTTAATCTTAGTAACCCAAGAGATTAAGATGATGTTTTCAGCTTTCATTCCCTGTTTCTGGAATTCACAGTCTGTAAAATGGATGGATTAAAAGCAAAAAATAATTCATTAGAATGAAAAAAAATTAATTATTGGGTGGGAGCATGGGAGAAAAATTCACAGCCTGTGTCATAGCTTAGGTGCAGAGAGGAACCTATCATTGTAAGACGTTGCACTATATAAAGTATGGCCTGATGCCCACATTAGATTATATCTATGTGGGCAGGAGCAGTTAGATTCATGTGCCTTCCACTCCCACTCTAAATAGGCTGAACACAAAGGCAGCTCTGGCACAGACATGCTTAGTGCCCTGTTGAGTTTACTACATCCCCTCTACTAAATTTGTTACCTATGGTGCAGTGTGGTGCTGATACAGCAGTATCACATCTGAACTGAGTATGGTTTCACAATGTGGGACCTCTGGCACCAGGGTGTGTTTAAAGAGTCCCTGTGCCTTCTGGAACTGCATTCTTGCTCCCACGCTTCACAGCCCTGCCCTCTCACTTGGGCCGACAGCTGTTGCTGTAGCTCTGCTGGAGACTGGATCAGCAATATGATCTGGTTTTAAAACACACTCCACCTCTTTTATTTCTTTTGTTGCATTTTTCAGCAACAAAAATTGTTGACCGGGCAGTCATTATAATAGGTTGGAGTGAATGCCAGCAGAGGAGGAAGAGCACAGTCTCCTGGAGTTAGTATTGTCACCAAAATCCCCTTAACTCTCTGTCTGTGTGTGAGCACGGGACATGTGGGCTGGTCCACATCCATCTGTTTGGACATTTTCTGAGTTATGTGGATGCTTGGAATTCTTTTTAATTTCCAAAGCATGGAAGTTTTGTATCTAAATCTGTGGAGAATCATGTTGTTATCTGACATACTGAATGATGAAGAGCATGTAGGCCCATGGGAACAACTGGCACTTAAAATGGGGCCTCAAAATTGTGATTCATATGGGATATCAGCACAAAAATAATACTAATATTTTTAAGGGTCCAGGGATATTCTTTAAAGTCATCATTATTTTTCTGAGCTGACTTCTCTGGGCTGTCTGTGGAGAGGAGAGAGCAGAACACTTTTAATTGTGATGCTGAGCAGAAGCCATATTTGTCTGATCTGTCTTGTCAAATTATCTCTCCACTGGTCATGAAATGAAACTAGAGAGTTAAGAAGCTACAAGAAAATACTGTGGAAGTAGTCCTTTTGAACCATTCACAGTGTAGGAGTTAGAAGTTTCCCCTTAAGTTTTAAAAAAGTGCAGTACCTCCATTTGCAAGGTAATTGCATCCTGAATGAAATCAACTAGATATGGAGAACCACAAGAGACAAGTATCCTGTTAATTGGAAACACTTCTGTATTGCTTTTCTAGGGAGTGGGTAAAATGTTAATGACAACATGATTTGTTGATTTCCTACAAGAAGGTTAGAATTTTAAAAGAATTGATACATAAAACCAAAGCAGAATAAAATAGTGGGACTAAAACCTTTGAGAACTTGCCACACTGCTTTATTTAACATTTTCCCTAGACAGTTTTTATTGTATCCCCTTCACTTTCCCTTCTCTCCTTTTCTGCCCTCAGCCCCAGAAAGCTGTAGCTTTGTGTATGTGAGGAGTAGGAACTATATTCCTGCCAGAGGTAACAGGCAGTATGAAAAAATTAATCAAGTCTTCTATTGACCTGTAGAGGCAAATTATAGGAATGAATGAATACGTTTATTGTTACTGATACTTTTCAATTTTTTACTAACTTGGTTTTTCTTCCTTGTCTTTTATATGAGTCTCTTTTTTTTGTTTTGTTTTTTGTTTTGTTTTATGCTAGCAGTAGATAATGAGAAACCAAAGCTGGCAAATTACTTGAAAATCCTCCTGAGACACAACATTGAAAATTCCCTCTCTTGCTCTTTCATTGTGTCTGTGTGTACATATGGATATGTAAATCAAAACCACGATGTAGTGATTATGCAAATCTATGAATTGATTGCCTGACAATCAGTAATGCTTCCTGAGCATTTAGATACATTTATTTTACATTTGAAGAAATTTGTCTTTACTGTATATACATATCAGACATCTGATCAAAATAGTCAAGTTCTAGACCCAGGAGGAGAGAAGGAAAAGTAGCTACATGCTCTAATTGCCATTTGGTCTTTTTTTGTCTGAAAGGATTTAGTCTTAAGCTATGAACATATTTGAGGTCTTTCAGGGCCAGTAAGAAAGTATGCACGGAAGGCAGGCAGAGTGGTGTAAGAATTCTGGAAAATTAGTGCAAGATCCAAAAGGAAAAGTAGAAAAATAGCCATTCATATATAAACTTGAGTTATCACACTAACAAAATAAGTATAGGGTAGTGATGGGTTWCGTATTTCCTATCCCATGTGTTAATTCCATAGGTTCAAATGACAGCTCGTGTCACGTCCTACTGCAATTTAATGTGTATCTCAAATCTCAAAGATAGCAGCTGCTTTGTTCTGTAAAAGTTGCCCCTGGATTCAGACAACTTTTAAGTGGCAAAGCGACTGCATTTTCTGCTGACACTTCAAGTGGCATTTGATGTTAAATTCAGGAAATTCCTCCTGCTGTAAATTCCTCCTGCTCCTTGTCCAAAACACCAGTGGGCCCCAGGCAGACACAGCTCCTCCACTTTTTGAGAAAGGCTGGAGGTGAATTTCAAGCAGGGGAGCAGCTAGTGCCTTCCCTGCTCCACTGCTCTTCTGATGTGAGGTGACTGGAAAGTCAGTCTGCATTTCCCATCCATGATTGTCCCATCACCTCTCTTCCCAGTGCTGGACCCTCCTTATAGTCTCACTCTGAGTCTTGACTTACTTTTCAGAATGATTTAAGTTTACCACCCAGCTTAAGTGGTCTGGCAGTACATTTTTTGGTGTTGTGAAATTTAAGTTGTGTCACTTAATTACAAAGTGGGAGCAATGGATTCTGACCTGGCGTGTGGCAGRTATTCTCAAGATGCTGTGTTACAGGTAGTCTTAAACAGTCTTGGAACAAAAGGTGAAAAAAACCCCAGAGGCAAAAAAACCCCCATGTATATTACAGATTTGTAAATGTGTGTATGCCTCAGAGCTGTAAGGCGTTACAACCACATGGCCCTGGTTTTGAGTAGCTTGGCAGAAATCTGCGTAGTGTCAGGAGATGCTGTATCTCCTGACATATCTTGTCTGTGCTGCCACTAAAGGTAAATTCTCAAACATATCTAAATAGTATAAGGGAACTTCTGAGTACCATTTTATAAAAAAGAGTACTGTTAATGTCCTGTAGTTTCTTAAAAATTGGGGTAAGACTACGTTTTTTGATTCTGTTCCATTTTAAAACTATCAAAAATTATACTATTCAAACTTTCAATATTTCCCTTCATACTGTCTTTAAAAAGTCACCCTAAAAGGTAAAGATTTTAAACTGATTCAACTACCAGGAGAGAAGGCTTTTATCATGGAAGGACTGAAGTGACCTTAACCTCAGTAATATTCAGTCCTACTGTCAGAGTAGCACAAGCATGAATTTGTTGAAAAATAAACCCAGGTGAACTCTGTGTGAATAAAGAATTATATCAGAAATATAATTAATTTACTTGTTAGAATGTGTTATTTGTAGAAATATATGATTAAAATAAGGTGTAATTTAAAAAACTTAAATACTAAATACCATATTTATTTTTCACCTCAGAAATTGTGGATGGCAATGTGAAAATGACACTGGGTATGATCTGGACTATCATCCTTCGTTTTGCTATTCAGGATATTTCAGTGGAAGGTAATAGTAATACAATTATGTTAAATAACTAAGACATTTGTTTAAAGACATTTTTATATGAATTATGCACAAGTGAGAGGAGTGTTTCTTTTCACAGAAGGTGATACCATAAGTTCTCTACCTGGTAAGAAAATTCATTTCTGAAGGGAAAATTATTTCCTCTCCTCATCTTGACAGAGACCTTGAGCCAGCCTTTTAAGTGCAGAAGTTCTGGTCGTGTCTCTCAGCTACAGAAACATGGCTATGTTTCTAAGCTTTAGTCAGCTGAAACTAATGCTGTATCTTTTGTGTTTCCAACATACTTTTTTAGTCCTGTCCATTTGTCACGTTCTTTGCAAATAAGTATTATCTGATTGTATCACTCTTCTATCACTTTTTTTTCCTCACTGTTTCAGAATTTTTTTTCCTAACTTCTACTTGGTTACTGGCTCCAAAAAGCATTGTTGTAGTACTCTTTAAGTCAAGTCTATGCTTTGAAAGAGTAGAATTCTAGAAACTAATCTCAACTTTCAAACAAAGTACAATTATTTAAATTCGCATGTTATTCTGCCCACATAATTTGTGGGACAGTAAATGTGGACCTAATGGTTCATTTAATAGTTTCTGACCTTTACTTATGCATTCAGATGCCCATAGGGTTCAGATAATAAAGGTATTTTTTAGGCACTTAAACCTCCCTATAAGCAAATGAACTGAGACTACAAGCATATTTCATATAGGCACCAACACAATCTTTTATGTCTATTTGTATTACATTTTTATTGGGTATTTTGTTCCAGTATACAGTCGGCTGTCCAAACAATATAATTCCTTCAACTTCTAACATCCCAGAAATTTTGTGCAGGCTGAGACTAATATTAATTGACCTCTGTATGTTAATGAAGCCCCAATAGTCCCTTTAGATTAGTACCTTTTAGGATTAAATGTTGGTTTATGCCAATCAGTTTCAGGTGGCCAACCACAATTAAGATGACAAGAAATTAATTACTTGAGCACTTTTAAAATTTTTCCTTTTTTTAATCCCTTGTGTCTTCTACAGAGACCTCTGCCAAAGAAGGGCTGCTGCTGTGGTGTCAAAGGAAAACTGCTCCTTACAGAAATGTGAACATTCAGAACTTCCATCTTAGGTAAACTTCAATTATTTCAAGAGGTAGAAGCAATCTCAGAAATGTTACGTCAAGTTTTTCCCACAGTTGTGTAGGAATATATTTGACAGGAGAATTTTGCTTTTCACTGTTAACTAGACTTTTTTCAAATTCATATGTTTTATCTTCAGAGTGTTATTTTGGTTCACCTTTGGCATCATTTATTATGACTTCCATAGTTACTAGTTAGAAGAAAAAGATCCTATGGAATGACCATATTACATTTTTAGAGGTCCTTAAATATGGGAGTTCCTGAGTACTGCAGCATAGTGGCAAATGACTGCTTTCAAAAGAGAGTCAGAGACAAACTTTTCTGCCAAGAAGACCAGTGTGTTGAGCATGCAAATATCTCATTGCAATGAATCAGTCTTTATAATTTGGTAATGTAACCATAAGTAAGGATCACAAAATGCACTTAGTGTATACAAAACTAACTATAAAACAGCACTTTAAACATGTTTGTTTTCAGATTCAGGATCATAACCTAAGCTGAAAATTTTAGTAAAGCTCTAGCCTCTGTTTTTCTGTTTTCATTAAGGCCTAGAATGGGAGTTCCAGGCCATTCACAGACTGCCTGGTTTGGGGATTTCACTGGGCTGGTTCCTGAAGTTGTTCCACGGGACCTCCCTCATTAAACTACGTGACCTGCCATGTGCATTGTTTAACCATGTGATCTTCCCTTTCCTGAGACCCTTCTAGTATCTAAAACAAGAGCTCTATAAGTGTTTTGAATTAGTTCTAAAGGTGTAGTACCTACATTTAGGACAAAGAAGATACAGTAGATGCATTCCAAGATAAGAAAAATTTGTTTGAATTGCAGTTCATATATTGCCTTTCAGAGATCTGAAATTTGTTATGTGTTACTTTCCTAGAATATGCAAAGGTATATTTAATAGAACTTTATATGACTCCATACTATAAGTTACAGTATCAGAATCTTAGTGTGTATATATATTATACTGGTCTGATCCATGATATGGGAAAAACATCTTGAATGGGAGTACCTTTGGTTCTCGGTTTGATTCAGTTTTACATTCTGGGTGGTTTTATATTCTATTTGATTTTGTTACATTTTTATAGGATATGGTTCTGTTATTTGAAGGACCTACTCAGGCATCTCAGTAAATAAGATTTTAACAATCTCAACATGTTTAGGCTTATGAAATAACTGTGCAGGACAAAACCTCAAGCCTCAGTCACTGTGCTTAAAGTGTTTACATAAAATATTTTTCAGAATAATTGCTTCTGGCTGAAAGAAACCTCTCATAATCCTTCCAAAAATATGTTATTTGTACCTCCATTCATTTCCTGTTCTTGTCACAAAAGGTAGCGGGTCTGAAGTCAGGATGAAGTGTAAGAACTCAGATCAAAGCTGTCATATGTGTGAAGTGTTTTAAATAAACTGAGATGATTTATGATGTCTAGCTTCTCTGAGCACATGGCTATGCCAGTAAAATTCCCTGAAATAACAAAGAAAAAGCTAATTGTTTCTGCAAATTCTAGTAATTGCAAGTTTGCTCTCCTTTGATTTTTTTTCACAAATATGCTGTGAGTGTAATAAGAGATTATGCACTTTCATGGGTGAATGTGTACTTGAGCTGTCCTAGAGTTCTGCATGAATTAAGCAATTGAAATCAGGGACTGTAGCACAAAATGTACATTGCCTAGAAAGTATTTGGAGTCCTTAAGTGTGTATGGACTGTGGAGTAAGAGATGTGCTATAGTTAAAGGAGTACAGTAAGAGAACAGCTCAGAGAGAGTTGACAGGGAATAATTGTCAGGATTTGACAGAATTCCTGCTTTATTTTAAGCCTTGAGTGAGGATCAAACTGTAAAATGCCATTAATTTATTTACTAATTTTTTTTCCATTTTATTTATTTTTTTTTGTTGTAAAGCTGGAAAGATGGCCTTGGATTATGTGCACTTATCCACAGACACCGACCTGATCTTATTGACTACTCCAAGCTAAATAAGGTCATCAGTCTGGGTGGTACAGCATGCTGTCCTGTAGTGATTTGGCTTGCTTCTGGTTTGCTTAGCATGTTTTCCAAAAGAGAGACCGAAGGGTGCATACTAATTCTGACTGGCTTCTAAGGTCCTTCCCAAAAGAACCTCGGTGACATGAGGGAGAGGACCTCCTGACTGTCCTGTGTCCTTTCCTTCCCATTACAATATGTTTGGCATTTAATTGCAAATAATCTGGTCCTCAAATGCTGGCAGTTAATGAAGTCTTTACACTGCCCAATATGGATGTTAAATCAAATACATTGGAATTATCCATTTACCACTGTCTGGTGTAAATGACTGTAGATCGCAGAGCAGTAAACAGCGACATGATGATTAATCCTTAGATATTTTAGAATAAACACTACTCTTTCTAATTAAGAGTACACTGTAAGTTATGAGTCTTCCATAGAAAATATTCACTGATTCTCAGATTATACTTCTACCTATACTCCTAGACAAGGGGAAACAAAACTGATATACTAACTCCCTTAGGTAACACCTCACGGGGATTACAAAATATTTTATTACAGCATGCTACTTATGGCAAAATACATGTTTTTTAAAAGATACTTTGGTTTGAGAGGGAGGAGTGAGGAATGAGCAGTAATGTCAGAATTTCTTGGTGTCATTACTGCAGAAAAAATCATAGAAACAAAGTAGAATGTTGTTGTTTCACATTAAGTGAATCAATACATACATGCTTTCTTTCTGCTTTCTAGAATGAATGCTTCTTGAGGACTTATGTAAATACCAGTGCAACAGAAACCTTAATCATGGTTTTAATCTGTTGTGTGCAACTTTGCATTGATGAAAGAGGCTGGTAAAACATCAAGTCTATTTTTCCATTCCATGCCCTTTCATTACAAATTGATTTACTAGTTGAATCAACTGTTATTAGAAATTCCTTGATGAAAAAGAAAAGATAAATGAATGAAGTGAAATTATTTTAAAACTGCTTTATATATGTATTCAATTTATGCCAGGTTCCCCAAAGTGTGCAGTAATGAAAATTAAATGAACTTAGTACTGAATACATACAATTTTAATTTAGGCATCTCTTAAAAGAACAGCAGATCTGAACCAAAGAGCAAAATATTAGCTACCAGTACCAGCTTGTTCTCTAATTCTATGTGTAGCCTTTCCTACAGGTTAAACAGATTAATCGAATTACTAAACTACCTGTCTCTGTGCACATGTACTTATCATGCATAATATGAACAGAAGTGAATTTGATTGAATTTGTGCTTTGAAAATTGGTACATGGTACTAAAGAACATCACAGAAAAACTGTCCCACAGATGAGTGCTGAGAAAAGGGAACAGAACATAAGCAGGTCTGCTTCAACGTTACTATTTCTCTCTTGGAGGTTTCCAAAATAAGAACAGGTCAAGTTTCAAATTGAGGCTGAGCTGTTGTACATAAAGCATATGCAGAAAAAAATCCTAAAATAGATCTTGCTTTTTTGCCTTGGCTGTGTTTGATTGACTCTTCATTTTGGTTACATTAACAGCTGTCTTGGTGTCTTGTTTCTTATTTCCTTCACGCTGTCCTTTCCTTTTCTCACCAATATGTTTTGTGTGAACTTGTAGCTGGAAAGATGGCTTTGCTTTCAACGCCCTTATCCATAGACACAGGCCTGATCTCCTTGACTATGCCAAGCTAGATGAGGTATTTCTTTAGCTGTAGCAGAGATTTCTAGTTATTGTAGCTTGTAGTTCTGTTTTAAAGGATGGGTGATGGAAATCCCCAATTATTCAGAATTTGCTATGATTTTAAAGAAATCCTTTACCAGTGGAGCACTATTTCCTCATGCATTTAGTACCAAGCACACAAATAGGAGGTGCTCATCACTCATTCATAAGCTTTAATCTAGTCAGTAGGTTTCACTTAGATTTACTGTCTTTTTTACTTTGCTTTTCTCCATCCCATTTTTCCAGTCTCTCTCTCTGTAGACATGGGCATTATTCAGAGTGTCTATGACTGGTTAGCATTTTGGGACTTTGTCAAAATGATAATAGCATTAACGGCATGAGCTGCCATTTCACATAGCATGTTTTCCCTCCAAGCTGATACAGGAAGGCTGCCTTAATGGCAGCCCTAATCTGACACATTCCTTCATTGTCAGCAACATCTGTCTGTAATCTAACACATGAAATGTGTGCTCTCCATCTCAGCTGTGCTCACTGCTTCCTTTCTCTTTCCTTCAAGGACCAAAATCTCAAAACCAGAGGAATTGCTTGAATTTCCACAACCCTAAAATTAAGTTTATAGAGCCATTATGGATTTTTATTTCCAAGCCCAAACTCTTTTGGCAAGTTTTGCTCCTTCTGGAGAATGGCCCTGTCTGTGCTTGCTTCTTCTCATGCTTGCACCTGAACAGCATAGATAGCAGTAGAAGTCATATCACTGTGATGTACTATATAGTGGGTATAAAATAGGCAGGAATAACTTGATGTTGAATGGTCTAATTTAGCCTGCTGGTCCAGTGGCCTTTAGTGTCTATATTGCTGCTGTACTTCATTCAGAATTAGCTTGGAACTGAGGATACACTGCATATGTTACCTGCGTTCACCTCCAGAACACATTGGCAGTAGAGTTCTGGATTATTAAAGTTTTAGAAAATAGCTGGTTAAAGTTTTCTTTTGAAAGCATAGCAGCAGATGCACCAAAAGTTCATATACCTAGACTATGTTTTTTGAAGAGCAATAGCTGTGACTGCAGTTTACAGTTTGGAAAAACAGAAGTCGAGTTTTAGTGTACCTACTCTAGTCTTGTGTCAACGTCTATCTTTGACTCACTGTATTTTTTTTAATGCAGGATGACCCCATAGGAAATATTAACCTTGCCATGGAAATTGCTGAAAAGCATTTGGATATCCCAAAGATGCTGGATGCAGAAGGTGAGAGTTATCTTATTGATGTTTGTGTTGCACATAAGCAAAACACAGTAAAATTCCTTTTTTTTTTTTTCCTAGCAGATTTTCAGTATTCCTTCCATACAAATCATAATGTAGCAACCTGCTTCATTTTCAAACAATATTTTCATTTTTTTTCCTGGTGCACTGGATAATTTCACTCACTTTTTGCTTCGTTATTTATGGTTTGTTAATGTTTGCATTTATTTTAGCACTTTAGACACTAACCTAGCACATGGTCCCACTGTCTTAATTTAGATAAAATGCAGGATCAAAAATTAATTCTTGCCTTTAAATTAAAATCTGTTTCTAATAAAGGGAAATATAGCTTAAGCTTAAAGCTTAAAGTGTTTGAGGGGCCAAAAATAGAAATAGAAATACAAAACTTTCAAAATATACTAGCACACACCTTTCCTCCTCTGAGGGAGAGCTAGGTTGAGGGAGGCATTTTTTTTTTGTTTATTTTAGTTGTAAACTTTTTGTGGTGATAGTTTTAACAAATAATTTGTGTGTCTCCAATTATCTTTAGTTTCCTATATTTCTTCAAGATAACCAAACATTTGTACTCCGAGCAAAAAATGCTACCAAAATACTGGATTTTGGTGGCTTTTCAGTAGAGCAGTGATAATATGGGAATTATCCAGGGCACTCAAACTGGCTACACTTGCTCCTCTTGAAGTCTTCATTCGGAAAGTTAGGCAGGACGATTTGGAAAATCCAGGTTGGAACCACTTCGTTTAAGAGTACGTTCACTTTCATGCTTCAAAACAAATTGGTTTTGTCTTTTCAACTGCAATTCCCCTTTCAAACACCACTTAATCATTTTGGTTTGTAATGCTGTGGAAGGAATAAACAGAAGTGCTCTCTCCTTGCCATTGAGCAGCTCATACTATCATTCTCCTTTCTACATTTTTTTTCTCTTCATAGTCAATATAAGAAATCTTTTCCTCACCAGGTTTTCTGCCCATTCTATCTCTTATCTTCCTATTCTCCTCTTGGCAGGGGAGGAGGTAATGAAATTAAATTTCTTCTGATATTCTCTGAGTATTCATGGTCACTTTTTACTATCTTTACTTCCACTGTGWTCTCCATGGAAACTCTGCAAACTTTTGTTCACAGCTATGCAAAATCAGTAAATGTATTGGTGCCGAACATAAAAATCTCACATTTAACTTTAGAAATTGTCACCTCATTCCTGGGTCTTTTCATGTCAGCGTCTTTCCCCTCCTTACAATCCTTGCAGTAAGCACTAGAATAACTCATTACTCAGGCATAACTGCTGCAAAAACACCTTTTTCTGTCTTTCTCTGTTAAGTATTGAAAAGGCCTATTTTTGCCCATGGATGCATGACCTTGATTGCCCACACTTTTCACTCTTTCCTGCCATGGTAGGGACAAAGCCATTTGCCAGCCAAGCCAAACCCTCCTGTGATTTATGTTATTAACTAAAAAGTTGTGCTGGCACAGGGATTTCAGAACTGCTACCATCCAAGCTTTTCTAAGCACAAAATGTATTTCTGGACTGAAGAAGTTGTACAGGTTTCCAATGTCAGTACCCTGTCAGCCACAGGGACCCTGTGCTGATGCACACTCAGTGCAGTTCTGTCAGTGGCTGTGTTTAGCTCTGCAATAATTGCAGTGATTTAGGTGAGATTGCTTTGGAGTGGCAGTGAAGCTGAATCCAGTAGATCTGCCAGCCATACCATCTGCTTGGAAGTTTCCACAAACCAGAAGGCAGCAATACCCTTCTGTACAGTCTCAGACTTCAGATTTACTATTTCAGGAAGAGTCGTATCTTTTGTGCTTACTGATTCCTAAAGCTTAGGTGGCTTCACACTCATATCAGTAAACAGGTGCAACCTGAATAATGATGTATTTGTTTGGAATCCTTACAGAACTGAGGTGACACCATTAGCATAATCAGGTGAAAGTACCTTGTGAGAATTTCTGAGCAGTTAACCCTCTTCTCTCTACACAGATGTAGTAAACACTGCCAGACCTGATGAAAGAGCCATTATGACTTATGTTTCCTGTTACTACCATGCATTTGCTGGTGCTCAGAAGGTGAGATTGTAGATAGATCAGATCTCATCCTTCACCTTCTGTCTTGTTTCTTTCTGCAATTTTTCCTTTTCTGATCTTTTCCTTACTCGTTACCGGAACAGCATCTTAGAGCTGAGCTCATTTCCTGTCACCTGATTTGCTCTGTGAGCTGCTGTCTTGGTAGAGCCAGTAGTAATCTATCCATTTGTTCCATGGAAACAAACCTTCCCGTCTCATCTTTCTGCATATTTACTAATAATATCCAGTAGGTTTTTGACAACTGGTTCCTGAATGGGATAGAGGATAATATTCCCTTTAAATGAACTTGAGTGCATTCATTTGAAGCACCATTAAAAATGCAACATGAAAATAAGCTGAGAATGAAAAACAATTTCAATAGTAGAATGCCATCTTTCTTTTCTCTGCTGGATATTATTTCTGCTACAGGTGTCAAAATCATCATAACATGCTCAGAAAGTAAGCCCTTCTATTATGCTYTCAGGATAGTTTTTAAAATGTTAAATGCTTAATGATAAGTAAAAACAGCAACATAAAATGACGGTACTATGCAAAACAGACACAGAAACATATAGAGACGTCTCAGACAAGCTCTGGAATCATAGCCTAAGGAAAAGAAGGAAAATTCTGAAAAGTGAGGGGGATTGGAGGTGGGCATACTTCAGATATTGGTAATATAAAGAATACTGATATATACTGCTAAGGTTATAACTAATCCATGTGCAACTGCCAGAGAACATCTCCCCGGACTGAAATGTTATCTGCCTTTCCTGTGTCTTAGTCAAAACCCCCTCTGTCTAAGTCACCAGATATATGTGTGCCACTTCCTAAGCTGACTGTCCTGGTAAAATAAAGGTCACTTCCCCTATTAAATATTGCAGGATCACACATATTTTAAAAAATCCTCCTCTTTGTATGAGCCTATACTGAGTTTTTTGGTGTTCTTTTTATTCTGTCAGCATCACTCAATCTAACACTAAATTTATTACAGCTTTATAGAATTTCTAAAATACAGAACTATGGACAAGAAAACAATAAGAAGGACATGAAGTTATGCATTTATTTATTTATCCTATTTTCTACTCCTCGATTCCTTTTTTTCTTGTTTTGTTTTAATTTCTCCCCCCTCTTGTAGATATTGTGAACACTCCCAAACCTGATGAGAGAGCTATCATGACATATGTGTCCTGCTTCTACCATGCTTTTGCTGGAGCAGAGCAGGTATTAATCGACTATCCCTTCAGGTTGCTGTGTTTTTGATTGGTTGTTTCACATTTCCACTAACTATTTAACAAAACAACTAATTTAGTACTATGTGGTTTTTACTTGAGCCACTAATATTTTTTTTAACCAACTCTCAAACCTGTTTTAACTACATGTTGTGTAACAAATTAACTTCTTTAATTCAAAGAGACATCTCAGTTTCTCATTTTGGGTCTTTATTTGGTGATGTTAAAGATTGTTTCAGAAATAATGTATTTGAAGATATGGTAAAGTGGAGTTGTTGCTTGTTGCTACAACATCTTATGTGTTTGCTGCATAACAGAATGTTTGATTTTTGGAGATTGAAACTTACTCATGCTGAGTAGTAATTTAGGGCTAGATTTTCCAGGATACTTAAAGGCACTGAAAGGCACAGAAGACATCCAGCACAGTATTTGTGTCTGGTTCTCACTGAAGCCAACATAATTATTTGTGGATGAAAGTACTAGTACAAAAGTCATGAACATCAACAGCAGACCTTAATTGATTGGATTGTCACTTAGAAATGTTGCATTTTCCACTCTTCTGCTTCATGCATTTCTAGCCTACAAATGGACATAACCCAACTTATGTTAAAAAACAAAAACAAAAACAAAAACAAAATAACCCTTAAAATAGTTGATATTTCCCTTCATCCTCAGGATTGAATTTCCCTTCCTGTCTGCTAGGTCGCTTATACCTTACCATAGCCCAATTACATTGTTGTACCCTCTCGCTTCTAGGTATAAAGGTTTTGCAAGTCATGCAAAAAGGGAATTCCAAATACTCTGTAACACAGGACTCTACATGAATGTTTATTTCATTAGATGTAGTCCAGAGTCATATTGTATGGCAGTATTGCTCTGTGATAGCAAACTAGTAAATTTTAAATGTGGCAGAGCTACAAAGCATCTTCACATTTAAATTTGTCAGGAGGCATGAAAAGATTTGCTGACAGTGGTTGAGCTGCACTTATTCTCAAGGGTACACGTACATATGATATGCAGATATAGAGTGGTTTGAAGCTCCTGCATCACATGTCATGTCTTTCTAGTGTGGCAAACAAATCTAATACTTCTTGGATGTGATTTTAAAAAATAACCTAGTAGGATATCTTTAAGAATGGCCTAAGTTGTCTTCAAAAAGATTTATTAGACAACTATATAATGAGGCTTCACTGTACAAGAAGGGAACTTCTGTGCTGATCTATGCCTCATTCAGGCCATTGGAATCTATGACTACAGAAGGAGGGGAAATGAGGATCTAAGTAACCTAGGAGCATATAAAAGAATGTGATCTTTTATTGCAGCAGCCATGTTCTTTCTCTGTCCAAGCCTATACCTTTCTCAGAATGTGTTTATGAATACATCCTGTTTATTTGCTGTGTGTTACAGGCTGAGACTGCAGCTAACCGGATCTGTAAGGTGCTTGCTGTGAATCAGGAAAATGAGAGGTTGATGGAAGAGTATGAGAGACTAGCAAGTGAGGTAAGGAAGCTCTGTCTGTAATGTGGTGACACTTACGTTTGTGTAATACTGGAAGCTGAAAGATTCACGCACTCTCTTCAAGACAGCAAAGTGGAGACCCTTTAAGGGTCACAGTGGCAGGTTACCCAGCCCAGATGCCCAAGATATCAAGGTTCAGGTGATTCCTTTGCCACAGACTTCCTGTGTGACCTTCAGCAAGTCAGTCAGTCTTGTTAACTTGTTAAAGTGCCCAAAAGGGTGTCCTGAAGACTGTCATCCATCTGCCCCAAGACCAAGCTTCCTGTCTCTCTAATCTTCAAAGACAGCAATTCTTGTCCACGTGTGGCACACACCAGATCCTGTCACTCCAAGCGAGCCTGGTGGCTTTGTGTACTGCAACACACACCTGGAGAGGGTCTGTCAGGTGCTCACAATTCACCTGTGAGCATGGACAGCAGATGAATGAACAGATCAATGTTCTCCTCCTGTCCTATCTCAGTAAATGGCAAATCTGTTGATCAGGAGTACAGTGCACAAGTGAGAGCTCTCTTGCCTTGTATGCATAACCTGCAAAAACATACTGAGATCACAGCATTACTTTCTGTGTCCAAAATTGCACTAATGACCCTCTGAGTGAAGATTTTTATATGACCTGAGGCTGGTTTCTGTCATGATCCCATAACTACAACTACCTGAAACACCAAGACCAATACTTTTGAAAGTGGCAAATGAACTTGGGTAACTCAGATTTTGAGTAAATAGGTAGAGACACCTTACATGTGTGTTAATCTTTCTGAAAATCAGGGTGTTTTTAGAAATACCTAGAATAGCTGGGTAAATTTGCTGTAAAAGTATTGTTCAGCTTTGAATATCTTGTGTTTACTTGCCTTTAAGGCATCAGTACCAACTAAAGTCAGTAATATTAAAATGGATCAAACTTAATTAAGCGTCGTTTGTTCAATGTAATCTTTTTCTTCTTGCTTTTCCATTGCTTTTATTTGACTTGTTTATATTTGTTTGAAAGCTTTTAGAATGGATTCGCCGGACAATTCCTTGGCTGGAGAACAGGACCCCAGAGAAAACAATGCAGGCTATGCAGAAGAAATTAGAGGATTTCCGGGACTACCGCCGCAAACACAAACCTCCCAAAGTCCAGGAGAAATGTCAGCTGGAGATCAATTTCAACACCCTGCAGACAAAGCTGAGGATCAGCAATCGGCCAGCTTTCATGCCTTCAGAGGGGAAAATGGTTTCAGTAAGTAAAGGAGGCATCAATATTCTGTTTGCTTTATCAACCATCTCTCACAAACTTCAGCATAAAGAATTGTAAGGCCATTTTAAATCATCCTCAGAAACATCAGTTTGTTGCACTTTTTCTATACCAAACTCTTTTTACACGTTCCTTTTCATTCTAGAATCTTGCTTTCTAATAAGCATGCTCCTGCTATATTGAAGGCTTTCATAAAAACGAATTATCTGGAGATGCAAAACAATGTAGAACTTCCTTTGGGAATGTTATCAATAGTTCTGTATCAGTGAGGCCAAGTATTGCTTATTTAAGCTTAACTCAGTGGTTTTGCTGATATTTTTAACATCGAACTTAACCAAACAGACATTACTCAGTACATATTTCTGCATTTTTCTATTCTGCTTTTTTTCTTATGTCTATGAAGATAAGAATAGTCAGGACCAAGAATTCTCAACTGCTGCTAAGTTCTGCGACTTGACTGTGGGTCAGAACATTTCCTGTGTAATATAGCAAACATGTTTCTGTACTCTGTTCTATCACTGTGTTTTGCTTTCTCAGATTTCATAAACAATAGTATTGCTCTATTTGAAAAGTGGCCATTTCCCACTTCCCATATGCAGAAAATTAGGGCCCTGTTACTTCAGTTTCCTATTCATGCCATGTTCATTTTTGTGAGGAAGCTCATAAAACTTTGTGTTCCATAGAAGGTGAAATGAATTTGTATTCCAAGTAAAATGCACACCAAATCCTCTTGACACTAATTACTTTGCTACTGTCAACTTGTGAAAGCAAAGCACTTTCATTTTGATAGCAGATAGGTATATCATAAAAGAACACATACATTGTAAAATGGGAGATAAAAGCAATTTATTGTGAAGACATTTGACATGTAGCCATGCTTGGAAACCATTTCTACAGGGGCCCCTTTCATGAACCCACCTCATACAACACTATGTGGAGCAGGTGTCTGCACTAAAAGACAACTGCCAGACAACATTTTCTATGATTCTGTGAATTTACAAAATCTCAACATCAAAACTTCTCTTTTTGAAGCCAAATTTTGACTGCATGAAAAATCTTTAAATTTAGATAAAAAGAGATTGCATCCATCTCTCCAATGTATTCTCCTCACAGGATATTGCTGGTGCTTGGCAGAGACTTGAACAAGCTGAGAAAGGCTATGAAGAGTGGCTGCTGAATGAAATAAGACGACTGGAAAGACTTGAACACTTGGCTGAGAAATTTAGGCAGAAGGCTTCCACTCATGAACAGTGGGCGTATGGTGAGCAGAGATGGCTTTCAACATTTTTTGTATTTTAATGTTCAAAGTTAATGTTAACTTTTAATGTTCAAAGTTGAACTGTCAGTGCTGAGTATTTGCCAGCCATGAACTCACTCATAAGCTGTTTGGACAATTTCAGAAAACTAAAATAATAACAGAAAAAATGTCAGGTTTTGTTGACTGTAGTCATGATCCTAACTTGTTAGCATGTTGCTAATGAGATGTAACTGTAAAAATCATACTTGAAGTAGTGAGTCAAACTTAATGGGAATATTCTGCATTTGAATAGAGGCCATTACTGCTAATGTATTCCCATGTATTTGTACACCAGCAGTCCAACCAGGAACACAGTCATATTACTGGTTGAATGTGAAATTATTAACAGAGGTATACTGAGTTTGTTATTATTTGATCAACATGATGTTCTGAAAAGTCCAGATAAATGACGTGATAATAACTCATTTCTGCTTTGCTCCAAACCCTGGATTACACCCATTTTTAGTCCTGGCTTTTAATAATAACCTAACCTCATGTGCAGTTGTGACACCTGTAGGACCATACAACGGCTTTCAGTCAGTCTTTCAGTTTTGTTGGGGACTATCAAACACAGGTCTGCTTTACCATCCTGACAACTCTCTTCCTGTTTCTGCCATGCTTCTGACTTTCTCCAGCTAGATTCTTTTGACAATGTAAAAGTGAATCAGAGTCCATCCTCTAGCACTTGCTGAAAGTATGTAAGGCTGTAAATGGCTGCCAAGCAGATAATAGAAGGGAAACTACAGCATTTATCACTGAGAACTTATTTTCTGAGCATAAACTACACATGGTGACAAGTTGTAGCTGTTGTGCAGGGAGAACTTCACATAAACTGGTATACAGCAAGAGAAACAACAGTCATTTCTGGCTCTAGGATTCACAGAGCTGCGTAATGTAACGTGGTGGGTGCATCTGCAGGGCCTGTCTGTGTGGATTCAGTTGTCCAACACCAGAGCTACTCAGCAGTAGTATTTCAGTTTCTACTTAATCTTTGCTTCCCTAGACTTCTTTTCCAGTTGAAATTCAGTGTTCAATGCAAAAGCAGTCACTCATCTCGGGTTTGTTTTTTTTTTTTTTTTTTGTTTTTAAGTGCTGAAATGAACAATGAAGGCAGAACATAAAAAAATAATAAGATCATTAGTAAGAGTGAAGTTGACTACAGCAGTGTGATTTCTGATTTTGGAAGTCTGTTCTACAAAAACTTATCAGAATGGTTTAGGGATACAGTTTTTGCTAATATATCTTTTTTTTTTTTTTATGCCAGTTTCTTCAGCAATGTAATATTCACAATTTTAAGCAGCCTGTGCAAAAATCAAGACATTACTGTGAGTTCTTTAAAAATACACATTTCTAATGAACACGTGCTGGCAATTTGGTGCTGATTTCAGTGGAGGTGGGATTTAATTTCATACATATGATTTTCACCATGTCTCAACTAAAAGCAGATCAAATTTGCAATTTTTCTAACAAATAAATTGGTAAAAAAYGAGTAATATTTAAATTTCCTCTTTCAGGCAAAGAGCAGAGCTTGCTTCAGAAGGATTATGAGTCYGCCACTCTGACAGAAGTTCGTGCCATGTTAAGGAAACATGAAGCTTTTGAGAGCGATTTGGCTGCTCACCAGGACAGGGTGGAACAGATTGCTGCCATTGCCCAGGAGCTGAAGTATGTTCCATTTAAAGGCTTGCAGCTGCTGACATTTAACTTTGTGATAAACTCTTTCCAATGAATTTGATAGTGTCATAGGTACCAACATAGGAATTCCAGACATAGCTTCATAAGTATATTATCTGAGCTGGTAACTGAGACCTTTCCCTCATCTCTCCCTTGCCCCCAACCAAATATAGATATTCAACTGACCAAAATTACTTGAAAACAAACAATTTTAACCTGAATTAACAGTAATCTTTTAGTATGAGCTCTACCCATGAGTCCATTGTGTGTCGATGGGAATCCTGGAGGTGTTTATTTCTCAATTCATATGGTCTTCTGAGAGGTAAGGGCTATGAGCTGTTTAACTTAGAAAAAAATAACACACAAATTACAGATCTTTGCAGGTGTATCGGTCCTTTCAAAAAGCTTCACATCCCCATATTCTCTCTGTAATAGTGGGTAGTGCACCGACTTTCCTGCAGATTTTATTGTCTCTAATATGCTTACTTTCACAATCTCTTCATATTATATTTGGAAGTGCTACTGCCTCCATTTTACAGAAGGCATATGGAAACTAAATAACTTGCTCAGGGTTGCACAAGAAATCAGGCACATGCAAGGCTCTCCTATAGGGGAGCTGGAGTCTTCTCTCTCAGTTCCATCAATTTAGCCCACACACTAGGCCCAGAGAAAACACAGCCAAAGCTGCGAACAGCTCTGCAACACATTTAGTCTACACATGTAGGCTGTGTTGCTGACATCAGCTGCATAGGTCAGCAATATGAATAGTCAAGGCTCTGGACAGATGCCTTATGGCAGCAAAGTCCCAAGTGTTAAGTTAGTCTGGCTAAACTCTGTCCCTATTGGTGGTGGTTGCTTTTGTTTATGGGAAGATTGTTAATTCTCCTCTGTGAAGCAGGATTTTGTGACCGATGCTCAGCCCACACTGATAAGACTGTAGCATTATGTATGGATGTCCCTGTTCAGGTAAAGACATCTTGGTGTCTACACCAAGTAAACACATTTGATTTTATCACCTTATGCAATTAATTGCAGTGGTTTTGTACTGTAAATCAGTGGTGCCACTCCTGGTCTTGGCAGTTTGGCCCTTGCAGTATAAATCTCTCAAGCCAACAGGAATAAATGTGCAGTAGTGGTTGAAACAGGAGCCAAGATCAAAATTCTCAGATTCCTGCCCTTGGCTTCAGCTCTCCAAGTTTCAATTTCTCACCTTGAACAGGCACAACAGTTACTGCTCAGAAGTCATGCCCTTTTTTCACTTTGTGAAGGACCATGACTCATAAACAGCTCCATATTCATTAACTCTCTAAAAATCAGAGACTTGTTTAAAAATGTAGTTTATACCTGGATAGCAGCAGCACTTACAGCAATTGTATAATTTAAATAGATTTAAAAGAAAAATCCCATCTTCAAGATTATTTAGAGGAAGAAAAATAAAACAGTGGGCAAAGTACTGGTTTTTAGTTAATGTGAAAGAAATCTGAAAAATCCAGAGAGAATGGATATTGCACTAAATATATGAGCTTATGAAAAACCTTCTGGCATGCCTTGATCCCTGTTGTGGAGCCATTTCATAGAATCACAGAATGGCTTGGGTTGGAAGGGACCCTAATGATCGTTTCATTCCAAGACCCCTACCATGGACAGGGATATCTTGCACTAGATCAGGTTGCTCAGAGCTCCATTCAACGTCTCCTTGAACACTTCCAGGGAACGGGCATCCTCAGGTTCTCCAGGAAACCTGTTCCAGTGCCTCATAGTAAAGAATTTTTCCCTAATATCCAGTTTAAACCTGCCCTCTTTCTGTTTAGAGCCATTACTTCTTGTCTTTGTTAAATGTCCCTCCCCAGCTCTCTTGTAGGTTCCCTTTAGGCACTGAAAGGCTGCTATAAGGTGTCCCCAGAAGCTCCTCTTCTACACACTGGACAGCCCTAACTGTCTCTGATCATCTTCATGTCCCTTCTCTGGACCCACTCCAATCAGTCCATGTGTTTTCTGGGGCCCCCAAGCAGGTTGCAGCATTGCAGGTGGGGTCTCACCAGAGCTGAACAGAGGGGGAGAGTCGTCTCCCTGGCCATGCTGCCCAGGCTGCTTTGGATGCAGCCCAGGACATGTTTGGCTTTCTGGGCTGTGAGAGCACACTACTGGGTCATATTTAGCTTCTTGTCAACAAACATCCCCAAGTCTTTCTCCGCAGGGCTGCTCTCAATCCATTCTCTACCCAGCCTGTATTTGTGCTTGGGTTTTGTTTCTTTTTATGTTAAAGGAAGTTTCTGTAACACCTAATTGTTGCTAATTCAGCTTCAGCTTTATGAATGATGAGAAACTTTGGGAATGTAGTATACATAGCACAGCATCTGCTTACCAGTGTTGTGAACCCTCTGTCCTTTACCTCTGGTGATGCCAATGAACACTGTATCCTGTCTATTTTGGGAATGTCTCTTCTCAGTTGTTTCAGTAATTTGCTGTGTGAAGTTAAACAAGTTATTTGTGACTTGGGCTGCAAAGGTGCTATAAGCTGGTAGCATTTAGAGATGCTCTAATTTGCCTTCTCTGCTTCTCTGTACAATGGAGCTATCAGTGCCTGACTTTTCACTGTGACTCTGTAACTCAGTTAGGCTTAATGTCCATGGAGAACTCTGAATGAAAGGTTGCAAAGGTCAGGCTTTATCATTGGCTGCAAGCAAATGGGCAGCTTCTATTTAAATATGGATTTTAGTTATTTATACATTATTCCTTGCACAATAAAATTATGGAGGAAAATGTAATTTCTTTCTTAATCCCTGTTTTAAAAGAAGGATTAATGTCTGAAATCTATGGTATGTACATTGGCACCTGATACAAAGCCTGTTGAAGTCAATGTGGGTGTTTCTTTCTTGATTTTTGTTTGTTTGCTTGGTTGGCTGGTTTTTTCCTTATCACCGGAGCAGACCCTCACAGAAACCATAATGATTCATGTCTAAATTCCAATTTAATGTTTTGTTTTAGTCTGTCATGGATGCCTTGTGTTACAATTTCAAAGGAGAACTGTTGCTGTATGACCTTGAACTCTACTGGTCACAATTTCCTGCTTGTTCTGGTATTTTCTGCTGCAGCAGATCAGTCCACTCTCTGCTTAAAGTTAAAGTTGCTACAAGCTTGTTGATTGGTGCTATTGTGTGTTTGCAAACAGGTGATTCCAGCCAGGATATCACTATAAGATTGTTGTGTTCCCAGCCTGTATAAACTTAGATATTCCTTGGTAAAGAGACATGACAGGGCTTGGATAGGGCTTTATCCAAAACTGAAGGAAGACAGGCATCTCTAAAATGAGATTTGCCATTTATGACATAGCAAATGCTCACTTGAGTGAGCTGTACCATGAAAAGCCATATTTATTTATGTTCTTACCTGCTCATTTCAATGTTTCCAATCATCAAGGCAAAATTTTTGGAATGTAGCTCCTTGTAGTTCCATCACTTCTAGCATAGTGACTGATTTTCGGCCAAGCAGACCACTATCTGTGGCACTGATTTGAGATTCATTTTGATTGTGGAGACCTGGGCTCAAATTGTGCTTACATGCATGGTTAACATGAGCCTTGTTCTGAGGCACTGCTGAAGCGTGTTGCTCAGCAGGTTATTTTTGTGGCACTATCACTGTTCTTAAAGTGAGCTCACACTTAAATGCTTCTCTGGATCAGGTCAAAATTAGACAAAATTTTTAATTTTTGACAGATAAGACTGAATTACTTGTAAGATCAGTAGGGATAATGTCGTGGTTTAGACCGTGCTGAAAGCCAAAAGCACTGCACCCACGATGTTCTCTCCCCTCCCCCCACCGAAGAGGGCAGAAGGGAGAGCAAAAGACCAGTTAACACGAAAAATTATGGCTTTCAGATAACATAACATAATTGAGAGAAAGATACTTATGTGCTCCAGAGAATGGTCAGACAGGCTGAATAACTTAAGTTKCAAAATAGATTTATTACTACAAACTACTAAGAATACTACGGCACTGGGGAGGGGAACAAAGATTAGGGACAAGTTTACAAGGAGAAGAAAAATAACAACGGACATTTTAAGACACCTGTTATCCTTTCCAGGACCCGTCTCTTTCCCAGGTCCTCCCTCTCCACCCCCCACGTCTTCCCGCACACACAGGGGACAGGAATGAAAGTCTAGCACATATCAAACTACTCATTACAGTTGTCGTCCAGCATCATAGGAGTAGCGTTCTTACTGCTCCAAGCTGTGGAAGTTCTGTTCCCAAGAGACAGTCAGTGTATAACTGCTGATGGCGAGGGAATATTTTCTTTACCTCGGAGCAGAAAAGAAAGAATGTCTTTTCAAGGCCAAACTGCGTTGTTTCAGCGGCATAAGACCACTATCACAAACCTCCTGGCAGAACACAGCTTCTTCTAAGCATCCACTTACTTCAGACGTAGGGCGTGGGCATCTCCAGCTCCACGCAGAGAACAATTTCTTCTTAGCATCAACTCACTTCAAACGTCGTGGGGGGGCCGAGCCTCTTCCCCCTTTTTGGCTCCTGCTAAGTTCAGTCCAGTACTCAAAGGCCAGTTTTTTTTTTTCCTCAGAGCAAGATCGCTCTCTTTTCTATACAGGTCTCTCATCGATGAAAATAGTCCTTTCGAAAACAACTTATTTTCTCCATGCCCGAGAACCACAGCAACAGCACAGCAAGCCATTACCATCTCCTCCTTACTGTGATCTTTGGGTCTCCATTTTTCTTCTTACACCTCCTCACCCTCCTGCTCTGTTTTTTCCCCGGTGCACGATACTAGAACTACATGCTAACAATCTAAGAACTACATGGCGGCCGCGCCTATCTTGTTCTGAATTCTTTCTTAAGTACAGGACAATACGTCATCACAGAGGTGTAACCAACCTGTGCAATTGGCCCAGGCCTGATGGGCAGCCTGTCCATCAACCTCAGAGCCATRATGGATTGGCTCTAAAACACAGGGGGTAGGGCTCCTTTTGCTGGAGAAGAAGAAGAAGCAGAAGGAGAAAGTTTCTAGAACTTCCTTCTAGGAGCCATCTTTGTGGTTTCTTAGTCCCATCCCCCCACCAGCAAAAATTGGACTAAGTAAAACCATGACAGATAACTGAATGATTTTTAAATTCCAAAGGCTGTAGGTTTCAAATGACCAAACAAATAGAAAGATTGTTCTCCTAGAATGTCTGTAACATATGAGAAGCTGTATTTCATGCACTGCAAAGCAAAAATTTTTACAAAATGTGAAATCTAGTCTCTTCTATGTTGAGAAAGATGCAAAAAATTAATAGGACAAGGAATGTAAGCCAGTGTTTTATTTCCAAGTAATTAATCTTTGATGAGTTATTACTTCCTCTGCTCCTGCTTGGAGCAGAAAAATATTCTTTGATACCTATAATACACTTACATGAAGTAAAAAACATCAGGCTCAGAAAGTAGTGGAGCTACACTGTTCAATGCCACTTGGTAAACTAACTCTGAATTTTTGATCCATGGGTGCCCTTTTTACAAATCGTTTTGATATCATTCTCCTACCTATTTGTCCACAGCACACATCCCTGGAAGGAAAAGGATAGTAGAGATCTTACGGGGAATGACTGAACTTCCCTGGCAGAGCTGGTGGAGGAAGGTGGACCATTGCCTTCTAGGACTTTGACCACAGCTGGTAGAATCAGTCCCTCACTGTCATGGAAGGACGCCTGCCCTTATCCTAATCAACAAAAGGAGATAAAAGATCCACTGAAGCAAAAATAAAATGTGCTCACTCAAGAACATAATCTAATAATCTCAAAATGCTATAATGAAAGAAACACAACTTGCAGCCAAAAATGCATGACAGCAAAATAAATCTCAGCCTGTTTCATCCAGGACTTTATGCTCCTGACTTAAAATTTCGTGGCACATAGGTGGCTTTTGTTGCATCTCTTGAAGGTGAATGAAAAGGCTTCCAAAGAAGGAAGCAAGTTTTCGAGTTAAGGAGCCTTTGTATAGTACGACTTGCTGGCAGCTTTCTCCTTACATACAGCAGTTTATTTTCACAATTTTGGGTTGTTTTTGTTATTTTTTAAAGTTTTTAGAAGAATTGGATTAGAGAATACCTAGGCAAAATTGACATCTACAAGTCCATGTGCCCTGATGGGCTGAGTGCTGAAGAAACTGGTGGATACCATAGTGAGGTCACTGTGGAGCAGGACCTGGGGATTCTGGTGGAACAAGAGCTTTCCATGAGCCAGCAGTGTGTCCTTGTGGCCAAAAAGGCCAAGGGTGTCCTGGGGTGCATTAGGCAGAGCATTGCCAGCAGCTCAAGGGAGCAGATCCTGCCCCTCTGCTCAGCCCTGGTGAGGCACATCTGGAGTTCTGTGTCCAGTGTTGGGCTCCTCAGGACAAGACAGACATGGAGCTCCTGGAGCAGATCCAGCAGAAGGATACAGAGATGATGAGGGCACTGGAGAATCTCCCTTACAAGGCAAGGCTGAGGGAGCTGGGCCTGTTAAGCCTCGAGGAGATGACTCAGAAAGGACCTCATCAATGTCTATTGGTATCTAAATGGAGGGTGCCAAGAGGATGGAGCTGGCCTCTTCTTAAGCAATAGGACAAGAGGAAATCGGCAGAAATGGAGGCATGGGGGGGGTTCTACCTGGATATGAGGAAGAACTTCTTCACTATGASGGTGACCAAGCACTGGAACAGCTTGTGCAGAGAGGTTGTGGAGTCTCCCTCATTGGAGATACTGAGGAACTGTCTGGACACAATCCTGTGCCCTGTGCTCGGGGATGACCCTGCTTCAGCAGGAAGGTTGGACCAGATGAACCACTGTGGTCCCTTCCAGTCTTACCCAGTTTGTGATTCTGTAATTTGGTAATTCTGTGATTCTATTATGGCATTTTTTAAAATCTGTTTTACCATTCTTCACTTTCAATAGTTAATTGATTGCAGTACATCTGAAGCTTCTTTTAAACAAAATACTTCTCATACTTCTTAGGTTTATCCCAAACCAGATTGTTCTGACTCAGCTTAGAAGAAGAATCATGAACATTGCCCCTGTCCTACAGAGCTTCTGGCTTCTGGCCTCTGGCTTCATAGAGAAAAGCTGCCTCTGTTTTCATTTTGTCCTCTGTGATTCCCTATATGTTATCGGCAGCATGATCGGTACATTCCTCTTGCCAATTGCCTAAAGAAGAACGCTCCAAAAAAGGGAACAAATTCTATCTGCATTTGCTGTCATTCAAACCTTAAAGTAAATCTTAGATTCATATTGCCATGTGTCACATATTTACAATCTCTGCAATGTTTAGTACTGGGCAGAGTGTTCTCAAGGAGAAGCCAAGAGCTAAATTCAATGGATGGTGATATGCCAATGAAAATGAGTTTCCAAAGTGTCAAACACGTGTATTATGGATGGCTATCATCTGCCACCAAGATCAAAAGTTCACTGAGGCGGACTCAGTGCAGAATCTCAGGACAGAGCCTTAAAAATTTATTCTAGTCTCAGGCAGCATAGTAAGTTGCTTCCTGTCGGGATGATATAAGCCTACTAAGCAGATGAAAAAGCAATGGTAACTGCTATCCTTTGTGAATGCACTGATTCATGCTGGTGGCCTGTATGGGTCTGGAGACCCCTGTTCTCTGAAAGAGCCAGTTCTGGGGTGTAGATCTGTGAGGAGTTCCTGGAGAGGAAGATGAAAATTATTCTCTGATCTGGGCAGCCCCTATTAGTATTGCCAGGCTTGTGAGAGATCATGCCTTGAATGCAACCTGATGTGTATTTCTCAGTTAAATAATTTCAAAGCATGTAAGGAAAGGATCATTGGATTATTTAAACCAAAATACATATTTCAGGCAGATTAATTTTAAGTGCTACCAATCTTAACAAACCTGATGAAGACTGAGACTGAAGGATTCTGGCCATGAGGGGATTAAATTGCTTGCATCAGAGGAATAACTAAGACAAAGGTGCTTGGACATCTAAATTGTCTTTAATACCTGAATGTCACAGATACTTGATTTTTTTCAGAACGAAGGAGATTGGTCCTGTTCCTGTGCTGTGCTTCTTGAAATGCTGCATGCCTGAACACAATGTCTATTAATTGTATTGTAATGTAACTCCAACACTTAATTACCTTTGGAGAAATATTGCAAAAAAGAGCAAGAATTGTTGAGGGCCAATGGAAGTGTGGACAGTGCAACTGCTCATGTCTTTCAGAAAGTCACACAGATTTTTGTCTTTGCCCTTTCTTAGTGAACTGGACTACCATGATGCTGCAAGTGTCAATGATAGATGTCAAAAGATATGTGACCAGTGGGACAGCCTGGGAACACTCACTCAGAAAAGGAGAGAGGCACTGGAGGTAAACCATATCAGCAGCTCAGCTGAGGCAGGGGGAGGGAAATGAACCATTTATTTCAGATCTGGAAATGGGGCCATTGAGCATCCACTTTAGAATCCAAATAGCAATAAACCCTTTCCTCAGATCTCCATTTCATTTTGGTGTGGTTACTTCAGCAAACAGATTGAAGTGCTCAGAGCAGACTTGACAGTACTGAGCTGCCAGGGACACTTCTAAAGCAGCAACAAATGACCTGTGGTTTGTAGCACCCCACTGTGGGAATCTGATGTCCAGCAAGGCTAACAAAAGCTATCGGTTAGTTACATTTTCATACTAGTCTGGGCTTGCAGTCTTGCATACTTTTCTGTCCCGCAGTAGGTTAATTTTTGGTAGTGAGTATTCCAAAGCACTGAAATACTTTCCAAAATCTTGTTCTTTGGGAAGAGAGGAAGTCACATACATAAATGCCCAGGCGGGAAACATATTTGTAACTATTCCTTTTTGTACTCAGAAGAAATTACTAATTCAAAATGAACAGATTTTAATTCATTTGCAGATAGATGCCAATAACAAAAATACTTAAAATATCAATAGCTATACTTCAAAGGCATACACCCACCCCTTTAATATGTTGGATATAAGAGTGCTTTTACTGCAATTAGTCCTATTGCCTTGAGAGAGAATCCTTCAAACAGGTGGTGAAATCAATCAATGCAATCAAATGCTTTTGAAAAGATGAGGCACGACTATGTGTATGGGTGGGTATGCATGTGGAGCTAGATCTTACCCTAATRACAAAAGAATGTACTTTTCTCAACCTGTACAGAGGACGGAGAAATTGCTTGAAACAATTGATCAGCTTCACCTGGAGTTTGCCAAAAGAGCTGCTCCTTTCAACAACTGGATGGAAGGTGCTATGGAAGACCTACAGGACATGTTTATTGTTCATAGCATAGAGGAAATTCAGGTAAATTGCTATCTGGGGTTTTTTTGGCTTGAAGTCATAAGAAGAACAAGAAAGGAAGACTTTTCTTTGTGAAAGTTGAATACATGTAAGAAAACCCCTAATATCTGTTTTGATGTTTTCTTTGTGATAGACCATGTCTGCTCTATTATTAGAAGGTTTCTTTGTCAGTATGAAAGCACATTCCAGAGATCATGCAAAAAGTGATGGTTCTGATAAAATCGATGTGGGTTGTTTCATGAATGTATCTAAATGTATTATTTCCTGTATCTACACCCAGTGGCCAGGATGTTTGAGAGACCAAGAGGGTAGTTGTGTTTCTTTAGAGTAGATTTCCCAGATGTTGGAAGAAATGTTAAAGTTTTTGTGCTTTCCCTCTCTGTTTCTAATTTTAGAGTTTAATCTCTGCACATGATCAATTCAAAGCTACTTTGCCAGAGGCAGACGGTGAACGACAGGCCATACTGTCAATCCAGAATGAAGTTGAAAAAGTCATCCAGAGTTACAGCATGCGAATAAGTGCAACCAATCCTTACAGCACTGTTACAGTCGAAGAGATTCGTAACAAGTGGGAAAAGGTAATGCATGCTAAATTGCTAAATATGAAAAGGATATTAAAACACATTATTCCAGTTTAGGAATACAGGGAATATTCAGAGAACTTTACATTAAATGTCTAAATTATTCTAGATCAACAGATGCCCGAATGAATTTCTACAGTACCTTATGCTCTCCCTTACATTTGCCAGGCTTGCTTCACAGTATCCCTTGCTCCTGTCATGCAAATACCTGTGTCCTCTTCGGCTTCCTCTTCTCTTGCCAGGGCAAGAGAAACATGTGTTGAGGCTAGTGCAGAGCTAGTGCCTGGCCATGAGGTGCTGTTATAAGAACAGAAAATTATTGTGTTCTTTCTCTTAGTATAAACAGTAGTCTGTGTATCTCTTCTACCCGGATGGTCCTTTTCAAAAATATTGTATAAAATCAGCATCTTTGGGACCATTAATGTTCTGTCCARTTAGATTAAAATTTGCATTAGCAACTGAAAAGCACTGGGAAGAGATTAGAGGCTCCTGGAGCAATCACACAAACTTAATTTCATTTGGAGCCAAGACAGATAAAATGCTGCGAGTAAATGATTGTGTAAAATGTAGAATTACAAAAACTTACGTGGACAAGAACACACCCTCAATGGGTTGTAAAAACCAAAGAGTAGGGACTAAGGTTAAAATCTCCCTGGGCGATTCAGAAGGGTAAGCCAAAAAAAAAGCATTTGCAATCAATTGGAGACCTTCAGAAGCACATGATAGGCAGAACACATCTCATGTTACCCTATTGTAATGGCTGTGCTCAAATAAAATGTTTTGCACTGACTTTTCTTAGAACAATTACTTAGAGATTGAGAAATCATCTATCTTTCAAAATTCACCTGTGTTTCAAAAACATACCTGTTTTTTGTGTGTGACTCTAAGAGCAGTTAAAGTGAAATAATTGTCTTGATCCTGAATCCTGCTAGAGGTGAGAATTTCTTCTCTGTGCACATCAGTTTCTCTGCTCAGGCTGCCCAAGACCATGTTACAAATTTCTTATGTTAGTACAGAATTTGCAAAAAATATAGTGATCATTCTGTCTTTTTCTTCTGATATCAATCTTCAGACCAATAACAAAAATTAGTAGCTGTAGACTTTGTTCCATTTGTTTTTAAACTATTCAATTTTGCCTACTCACCTCTAGTGCTTTCCCACTGTAACAGGTGAAGCAGCTGGTGCCTCAGAGGGATCAATCCTTGCAGGAGGAATTAGCCCGCCAACATGCCAACGAGCGCCTGCGCCGCCAGTTTGCTGCTCAGGCTAATGTCATTGGGCCATGGATCCAGACCAAGATGGAGGTGAGTGTCATACCCTCATGTAGAAGCTGATGAACACAGTGAATTGTTATCTTTTTGTCTCTACTTTATGTACAGGGCAACAGCAAAGTCCGTGATAGTTCTCCAGCTGTTTGATCCTAAACTATTTAGCACCTGTTAAGATTACCCTTAAAACTGTGAAACCTTGTACAAGTGGTTCCTTGATGGTCAGCAGGAGATTCAGTTTTGAAAAATCAATCACTGAACAATTACTGTTTAGCTTCTTCTTTTGTAGAAAAGATACCAGGTTCACTGGGTTCTCAATACTAATTCCAGATATGAATGTGACACATTTCTTTTGGAATGTGCTTTCTACAGTGAAACTTCCCATCTCCATTGTATGAAGGTTTTATTACTGTTGATTCTTAGTATGAAAATACAACATAATTATGTAGACACTGGTCACATCAGCACACCTGAAGCTTAAATTTTGTGGGACTGGGGGCGTGTCTTTGTTTCTTTCTACAGGAAATTGCCCGCAGTTCTATTGAAATGACAGGGCCTTTGGAGGACCAGATGAATCAGCTGAAGCAATATGAGCACAATATAATTAATTATAAACACAATATTGACAAACTGGAAGGAGATCATCAGCTTATACAAGAAGCCCTGGTGTTTGACAACAAACACACCAACTACACCATGGAGGTAGACGTTTACTCCCTTTTGTGTTTATTAGTTTATTCTGTCCTCTTCTGCTGTGTAACTGCCTTCCCTGATTTGAAGAGACTGCCACAGAAGATGGAATATGGGAGGCTTTCTGATAACCTCATAAGACAGACTTATTTTGTTTTAATTTATTTTCACCTTTAGTGGAGAAGTACCCATTTAGAAACCTGTTTCATATTTTTCTGAAGACCATTTCTATGTTTAGTGATCCTTTGTCATAATACAGTTAGTAGTATGCAAAAAGTATCACGTAACTATTTAGAGCTGATTTTTTTTTCTTATTGTACTTTTTATCCTCTTAGAAGAATAGATTTGATTCTATAATAAATAAGTATTTTCTCTCTCATAGCACATCCGTGTTGGATGGGAGCTCCTACTTACCACCATTGCTCGAACTATCAATGAGGTTGAGACTCAGATCCTCACAAGAGATGCCAAGGGTATCACCCAAGAACAAATGAATGACTTCAGAGCATCATTCAATCATTTTGACAGGGTACAGTACTCCTGCTTTTTCTCAACTAGCAATATTTATTCTTCCTGAAAGCAAGTTTCTTTTCATTCCAAATGTAAGCTTTTAAAAAAACATGCAAATGCAGTATCAATGGGCTCTTATTAAAAGAGAAAAAAAAGATCAAGTTAAGTTAAGAAAGAACTTACAGACTTATGAAGTCATAGGATGGTTTGGGAAGGGATTAGAGGCTTGGGTTGGAAAAGATTTTAAAGACTATCTGTGTCCACTCTCCCTGCCTTGAGCAGGGATGCCATCTATTAGGTCACTTTGCTCAGGGCCCTCCACAACCTAGTAGCAGTGTACACAGAACTTAAAGATTAATTTTTACTTTTAAAATGCAACACAGAATTATAGCTCTGTTAATATGGTTTATTTGTTTTATTTGTTTTATTTGTTCAAACAATAAGCAAAACTGAATAAATCAGTTTGTTTTGGAAAATAACATGTCCCTTTATTTTAAGATAAAGGGCACGTTCTAAGTACTAGTGTTGCTTCCATCTCATTAAATTTAGCTCTAATCTGTATTTCAGAGGGTTTTTTCCCCTTTGAATTATAACTTGTCTTCCTAGAAATATATTTGTAGTGAATATAGTTGGGACACTGATAGCTGCCCAGAATATCCTTTGTTTTTCTGGCTATATGTGGGAAATAAAAGGTTTTTTTTTTTTTTTTTTTTTTTTTTTTTTTTTTTTTTTTTGTTTTTTTGTTGAAAATAAAATTTTTTTTTTTTTTTTTTTTTTTTTTTTAGTTATTGCAGTATGGATTAATAAAAAAGTAGGAAGAAAAGCCCTACTGTGAGGAAACTAAACTCACTTCTTAGAGTTATGCAGTATTCATGGACAGAGAGCTATAAAGATAACTATTAATAGACAAAATAGCAAAGTATATGCAGATGGGGATCTGACATTTGCAGTTGTACAACAACATGAAAATGAGTTAGTTCTGGTGGCTCTGTGCACACATGAACCCACTTTTATGACCAAGTTCACAGTTCAAATACTGAGAAAAGCTTACCATAATGCAGCACCAGTCTGTTGTCTTTTTACCAGTACAGATTGCTGTAGTAAGTGTGCTTAACACTTGACTAATATTCTGTTATCACAGGAGTCAGCTCCTTCAAATAATTTCAGGCTACAGCATAATTCCATTTTCTTTTCCCTGGCATACTGTTTGTCCAGCACTGCTCAAACTGGTTACCCACACCTGCACTTGCACTTGATATAGGCTGGATGTTGACAGGCATAGTTTGCTAAATCTTCTGTAGAATAGCCCCAGCTGTTTAGTAAGAAGCCAGAATTGTCAAACCTCTGCTTTCTGAAGAAACACACAAACACAGGAAAGTTTAGCTACACAGGAACCAGGAACAGATTTTATGGAAAAATCTTAATGTGATTCTAGTACAGCATAATTATTGTTTTTTTATTTTCTAAGGAAGCAGAAAAGCATCACAAAAGCAGAGCTAGATTTCCTGGGGTGGAAGAAAGTAACATACCAAATGGATTTTGCAATGCACTGGAGCAGATAATTGAGCAATTAGAGCGTTCAAAAGCAGACAGAATACCAGACCTGGATAAATTACATGTCTGTATTTGAGAGACCTCACTGAGGGAGACCAGGGACTTGGCACAAAGATTTGACAGCTCCCTAAAGATAAGGAAGCAAGGTGACTGAATCCAAGTATATTTTACACTGGATGGCCTTTTCTAGCATCTCTGTACTTTTGTATTTCATAGGTGAGTTCTCTGGCACGCTTGCAGTAAGGCTGGCTCTGTGGCTGAGGAGATATCACTGTCAGCTCCTGCTCCTGAAGGGAGAAGCTAATTTACACCAACCAGCCCCACTGTAATGGATTTTTAGGTTTGCACATACAGTAAAACATTGATATACCAAGGGATACAATAGGGCAAGGCCTCAGAAAATGTTGAATGACCTGGAAGAAGGTGGCCGTGTCACAGAGTTGCCAGCACATTGGAGATGGGTTGCAAGAATAATACAAATTATTATATATTATTGTAATTATTATTACATTGTAATTATTATAACAAATTATTATAATTATTATATATTATTAAATTACAATATATATTATTGTATATTATAATTACAAAATTTGTAATACAAAAAACTGCTTCCCAGCTCTCCTAGATTCTTACCTATCCTTGACTGTCTCCTTTCCTCAGGCTATAATGGGTCATGGCTTCAAGCTGTCCCTTCTGCCCTGGCTTTTGCTGCAGGAAGCCTGAGTGGCCAGGTCAGAAGCAGGAGACAGATGCTTCATCTATCATCTTCATTCTCTTCTGTTTCTGTGGCCTCAACAACCTGACCCTGGTCTGCCAGTTTAGCCTTCCCCCGTGACAGATAAAATCCAGTGGCTTAAGAAAAGAGGTCTGGAAGGATCACATAAGGGGGGAACCATTTTGAAAATGCCCTCTTTAGTATACCCCTTCCCTCAGAATCAGACACAGGAGACCGGTCTAGGAGGACCCTTGCACTGACCGAGTGTCACAATTATTTTCACTGTAGTATAATGCAAGTTGAAGAAAGGAAGAAGGTAAGATTGAAACCCTCTTAACCATCAAGCCAGGCTTTATGCAGAGAGCAGACAGTGCAAACACTGATAAAAGAGAAGTTTATAAGGATTAAATTACACTGTTACTTAATGGTCAGATGCAACTCAATTTACACAGGCTAGAATGAGACTTTGAACAACGTTTGAGAAAGACAGATTTGTTTTTCATTTTTCTATCTTTCCTGTATCATTGCACACTGAAATATTAAGTATTGGTGAATACAGGAAACCTAGGGTGCTTCAGACTAATCTCACTGTGCATAAAATAATGAAGATTTTATACTGGTTCGTCTTTGGATAGAGGACAGTAATGGATTCTTTTATGGTCTTGTTTCCTTAAAGAGAAATGAAGATAAAACTGGATTATCTGAACATAAGCGCTACCATGAAAAACACTGTCTTCTTCATGTCAGACAGAATTAACAGTATATGTAAAAATTTTGTTGCACTTAGCAGCACTTCTGAATGCCTGATATAGTTGAAAAAAAAAACCCACTGGAAGGATTGGACTGCTGTTCACAATGATGAATAGCCAAAAAGGATCCTAAAAATTAATACTGTCACATACAGGGAGGCTTTAAATATCTAAGTAGATAATTACAGATTAATTTATGCATGCTATAGCTCTGACTTGTGTGGCGTTTCTCCCATTTAAGACATTTCTTAATGTTTGACAGTGCGTGTTGAGGGTGTCAGCAAAGCACTAATATGCAGAGTAGCTCCCTTCCCCCTTTCAAAGGAAGTATTTTGGTATACGTAAATCTAACAACTTTATATAGAGTGCTTTTAGAAACAACTTCCTTTGCTTATGAATCTGAGAAAGAAACCCCTCTCTCCTCCCCGGGAAGAATATATTAAAAAATTCTCACAGTGCATGTGAGAATTACAAGGGTAGGAAGTCGTGTTTCTTTCAGTGCATGCCCCAGCAGAGATTTGCTGGCACAGAAAACATTACAAGTCATCCTTGAAAAGGCAAGTGGCAAACACTCTCTGCCTTGGGTCATGGGGGTAGTCGTCTTGGCTCTTGTGTTCCCAGGAGGCATGTACACATGCTGCTGCCCCAGGAGTTATTCCTGAGGGTGCTGCTGCTTGCCTTTGCTTACCATTGCTGTCCTACTCCTTGCTGGAGACTGTGCCTTCAGGTACAGTCTACTTGTAGGTATAAATATAAATCTTTAGCAGTGCTGCTATATTTCTTTCCTTAATGGGACTGCATGGAGAAAAAAAAAAAAAAAGTGAAAGTGGGACACAATGTCTGAATCACAGAAGCAGTTTTGAAGTGTTCGAAATGGTGCATAGCTGAATAATGATATGCAGCCAAATTAGGATACCACACAGGTTGTCAGTACTGTTTTTGACATCTTTTTATTCAGGGATTCCTTTTTCAGATTCAGTATATTTAGTAAATTCTAAATAAGATCACTAAGTATGTGATAAAATACCTGCAGCTGCTCTGCCTGTACTATCTTAATGGCTGCTAACACATTCTACTATTGATTTTTCTGCAAACTACAGATTTCAAGTAGGAACTCTGCATGCAGAAAAATAGCATCATGCCATCCTATATTTTGCTAACAGAAAAACCAGCAGCTTCTTATTAAAAGAATCATATGTTCAGGCTTATGCAGGTTAATTAGCATTCAGGAAAATGAAGGACTTATTTAAGAATGGATTAGTTTGACTTAGAAGCTCACTTGTTTTATAAGGTCACATATAAATCACAAGGAGGAGGGAAAAGATTTCTGGGGAATAATAATGAAACATGAAGAAGTTTTTAGTGTTTTGCTTTGTATTGGCAGGAAAAGATGAACAAGGCGAAGTTATTTATATGCTTTGAAAGATTAATTTCAGCTCCTAATGTTGGTCTGCAAACAATAAAAATAGATATCAAGAACTATTTCCAATTGAGAAAGCCTTCACATGGACTTGATTTATGCCTTAATAGCAAAATACCATTGAATTCCATGAAACTCTTATATACTGCAAAGGCAAAGATACGTTTTTAGGCAACATATGATGAAGGTTAGAAAATTTCACTTCAAGAATGTGAGAACCTGCTATTGCACTTGACACTATTACTTGGACCCTCACTAGGGAGTCCCACTTAACCAGATGACTGTTCTCAGTTCCAGCACAATCACTGCACTTCTCTCCTAAGGAAAATGGTTTCTTGGTAGATGTGCCAGCCTCCCACTCCCATCTGCCCTTCACTGCTTCAACTCCTGCTGCTGTGTGTGCCTGGCTGTGGGCTCTTTCTCACACTGCCCACCCATGGAATGATGTGGTAGCTGATGATGCTCTACCAACACGTGCTAGAAGAGATGGAGGGGCAGGATTTGGCTCTTAGCTCCCATTTTTATATCACTTTGTTTGCAGTCACAGAGTCGTATCTTCAGTTTTAGAATAAGGTAAAATGAACTGACTTCACCCCTCGTGGGACCTGCCATAGCCTGTCTCCAGGATAGTTTTTGAAAGGCTCAAATCAGCAAAGATTAATCTTTTGAGAATGATAAAATAAGCCATTTTGAATGCTTTGTAACAGGAATTAATATATAAAATAGAAATATTAAAGGATGAAAACTTTACTGTGATTATGGCTTTTAACTAAATGCTGCTCCACATTTGTAACTTTACTTTTTTTCTTTTCATTGACTTTCCACTGTTATTTTTCATCTTTTCGTTATGGGGCTGGTGGATGTTGATGCAGAGAGAGTCAATAACAGTATGATATTTTAAAAATGCATAAATATTTTAAAATATTTTAATAGTAAGTTAATAACACTAAAGCACAACTTCATCCTATTAGTATATTAAATAAGCCCAGTCCATTTTTAAAACTCCTATAATTTTACTTATGCATTGCTATATAGAATTTTTCAAAAATAAATTATTAATCTAGCATGCAAATATGTAGCAGACAGAAAATCTTGGATCTTCTCCAAACTGTCTGTAAAATCAATAAGGGTAATATTATTTAATCTTGGAACATCTCTTTATTTGTATTTATGTAAACTCACTCTAAAGTAAGTACTCCTCTGACAGGACATATTTTGTATGAGCAGGGAGAAAAAGACAAGCCAGTCTGCTTTTAAGAAGTTAAGAATTTCTAAGAATTTCTTAACCTGCAAAACAGAAAAAGGTATTGGGTCAAAACAATGTTCCAGTTTGATGTGGTGTTACTAGGAACCATTTAACCTGGAAGTCAATGGTGCTTTTTAAAAATCAGTTTTCAGAGCAACACCTAACTGTATATATTGTTAAAAAAGCCAGATAACTGAAAATAGGTTGTCAATTATAAATTTATTTTGTACTTATCTCTTTTGAGAGATGCATATTATGTTAAGTAATATTACCAGATCAAGAAAGAAGTAACAGTACTTGAGTGGGTCAAACACATTTTGCGCAGATTCAGTGATATTTTTACTTCATCTCACATATACTGCATGACAATAGAAAATGAAAGAAGCAAATGGCAGTTCATAGAATGAAAACTGCCTTGTCAGCAAAAGTGTTTAAAAAAATATGGAAAGAAGCAGAATTTTAATTCTGTGGTTGAAGTAAGGACCTTCTTCCACTAAGAAAAAGTCTAAAGCATGAAACTGTAAAAGCTGCACACTTTTTAGGTAATTAGTTGCATCTGTTGACATCGCATTTAATTGAAAATTTGTTACAATGTTATTATTAATATGAGAGTAGAATGTTCTTTACTAACCAACTAACCTGAACTGTGACTTTTCTTTCTTTCCTTTCCCCTTCCCAAATGCATGACCTGTGATGTGATAGGATGAATCTGACAGTCTACAGTCTGATGAATTTAAAGCCTGCCTCATCAGTCTAGGACAGGTTGGAAATGACCTGCAGGTAGAGGAAACGGAAATAATTATGTTTTCAGATATAATAATAGCCAAAAAGATTGCATGTTTAGACTCCAGTCTGCTGGTCGTAATGCTTTGAAAAGATCCTGCCTCTGGGAAGACAACTGCATTAGATGGACTGTCAGCATCCCTTTGAGCTATATTTTTCATGCATTTTTCAAAGATTTTTCAGTTTGTTTGTTCTACTTGGTTTGAGATATTTTGTTTGAACCCTACTCGATACCTAGGGGAGCTTCTATGCTTCTTGCACTCAGACTTCGTCAATTTTCCTTTCCTCAAACTCAATACAAGTTCTCTTAGGCTCTCTCCTAATAAAGGATGAACAATTCTCTCCAAGCCACTGCATTACATCACAGCACATTTACCTTTTTACTATCACATCATTTACTGTTTACTCAGTTTTAAATCCAGAATGTTCCGGATCTCTTATTGCCTGGAAAATGAGCAACCTCATTTTATACATGATCTTAAACTGATCTTCTAAATCTTTAAATCATCCTTTAAACCAGTATGCATATCTCTGCTGTAGTCAGGGTCTTGCCAGCCTGCAGTCAAAAGGAAAATACCTGCACTTATTTCCCATATGTCAGCAGACTGTTCTTATAATGCACCTACCTTGGCCTTAAGGTGAAGGTTTTTCACTGTACTTTTAGCTGCTAGAGATGCCATGCAGAATGTTTTAAAGACATTTGGTATCAGGGAGACAGCGTGAGCATCGGCTGAATTTAACTACTTTAGTAACAAACTTTTCTCCTTCCCATTCTCTTTGTCTTCTCTGGTTGTGTTTTCTGTATTCTTGTCCCACTCATCTCCTCTTCTCCCTTATCTCTTCCCTGACTTTCCTGATGTTACTTTTTGTGGTGAAAATGTCTCTTTCCTGTGTGTAATATGTTAGTTACTTCTTCCTCTTTTAAAACTGATGATGATTCTGGTGACCTGATCGGGCAACATCAATGAATACTGTTCACGCACTGGATCCCATTTGCCAATGGTCTAAATTCACCATGTCTCTGGAAATTACCTTGGATTCTTCAAAATCTCCCTTCTGTATTCCTTATGTTGTTTTGGTCAATAGAGGAAGAATGGATTGATGGACCACGATGATTTCAGAGCTTGCTTAATTTCAATGGGTTATGATTTGGTATGAGCTTTAAGAAACAATGCCAACAGATTCTGCTTACAGCTAAAACGTTAACTGCAGCAACACTAAAGCTTATCTAAATAGAATACTAATGTCATTTACACTAGAGATACTGCTGTCTCGTTTTCTATGTTTTCAAATGCTTAAGAGGGAAGTTAAAACTAGACACATGAAAACCGTATTCTGTGGTCCACTGCATTGCTCTTTGAATTAAGGGAACTTTAAAAGTTGAAATTAACAGTTATTAAACAAATATTTTTTAAAAAATTCTCCTTTTCTATCTGCATGATAAACAATGAGTTTGATACTGTTTAATTTTCATAAACTTGCTTTGGGGCTTTCATTTTCCTTGCTTCAATTGTTTATTGTAAAAAATTTCTCCAAATTCGCCTTTCCAATGGAAAAGAAAGGGATTATCCTTAGCTAAGTTGTCCTATATCTGGCATTAAATTTTCAGAATTATTTCGTTCTTAGTTCAGCGAGTCTACAACTAAATTGCTTGTTGGGTTATTGTTTCACTTTCCTGCATGGTACCTAACAAAGTTAAATAGGCACTGTGGGAGGGTGGAAGGGAAAGAAGCTGGAGACAGCTAATTGAGAGGTAAATGCTATGTATTTAGGACAAAGGATACATTTTTCAAGAGCACAATCCTTTTTACAGAAGTGGGGTGGGCATTTAAGATCTTTGTCATTGACTCTGTGTTCTTGAGCCAGGAAGATGCTTTAGAAGCTCTGTAACTAACAGTTCATGAGAGGCTCAGGATGTTGGAGATCGGTATTATGGTGACCATTTCTTTGTTCTGGATTCTGTGAAAGGGTGAAGCTGAGTTTGCTCGAATCATGTCTCTGGTTGACCCCAATGGGCAAGGAACTGTCACTTTCCAGTCCTTCATTGACTTCATGACCAGAGAAACGGCAGACACAGACACGGCTGAGCAAGTGATAGCTTCCTTCAGAATCCTGGCTTCAGATAAGGTCAGTCACTGTGCTGCTGGCTGTAAGGATTCAATCACTCTTCTGTTTAGCCCTTCTTATTGCAACCCTTTTAGCCATAGTGAAACTTTGTTTGCAGCTTGTCAGACTTGAGAGAAAGCATTTACCTTTTCTTCTTGTTTGGAACCAAGACTCTGACCTGAAATGGGTACAGAATACAAGGCTTAATCAATGTATCCTCACATCACAGAGCCAACATAAAATCAGACATTTTAGATAAGACTTAGACAATTGGTCTGTATAATGGATATATTGTACATCCAATTATGTCCTCACCAGAGCCTTGATTAGAGGGAAACTTGTTGGGCCTTTCAGAATGCTGTCTGTATGTTTCAATACAAAGTTTGGCCTTCCAGAAAATAGGTCAGGTGCACAAAACTACACCTAATTGTGAGCCATGTTGTGACTGGACAGCTCACTCAACAAACAGGGCAATGCAATGTGGCTGTACCCCTGTCCTAGGACGGGTAGCAGAAGCCTCCTGTTGTTACTGGGTGTGTAGAGGAATCTCTGGAATTTGGCATACTTTTGTCCCACTGCCAGATCCACTGGTGAGTGAGTGGTATGAAGATGAGAGGGAGTATAATGGCAACACAAGAGCTTTTGCAGGTGTCAGGGCCATAAACAGTGCTGCCGGAAAACCAATCCTGTGCTGTGGAGAAAGGAGAGATCGCAGCAGTACAGGTCTATTTGCCCAAGCTCACTCTATCGATTTTCTTATTCCAGCTGCTTGTATTGATTTTGTGATCTCAGTTAATGTGGACCACATTTTAAATTCCAGACATATTCTCAGTAGCAATTCATGTGGAAGATGGTCTCAGGAAAAAATGTTTTTCATTAGATTGTTGTTTTAAGCAATGTCAAGTCTGTTAACAGTGCATATCCCTCATGTCGTAAATGCAAACCATTAAGAACAATAATGCATCTTTCATTACACGTATAATAGAACCTTGACACTAACAAGAACTACCTGCATCATCCTGTCACTGCAGAAGGGGCAGTAGTGCACTGCAGAGACACCAACTGTCCAGGGATGAGCTATATCTGTAGCAGTCTATCCATGGCTGCACAGTGCTTGGTAGCTAAGGTACACAGTCACATATCCTGAGACTGCATTTTGACCTAATCGGTTTGTTGATGGAATTGTCTCCTTCAACTCATAATTTGGGATGGAATTTACTGAGGAAAGTATTTGGTCTCAGAAAAATACACAGGATGTCTGAATTTATTAGTCACAGTGACAGAAAAAAAATATATTTTGTGTTTTTGAAGAACACATACTGAATTTGTCAATCCTTTTCCCCTTCCCAGCCTTATATCCTGGCAGATGAGTTGCGTCGAGAGCTGCCTCCTGAGCAGGCTCAGTACTGCATCAAGAGAATGCCTCCGTACACCGGCCCAGGTTCTGTTCCTGGGGCTCTGGATTACACTTCTTTTTCATCAGCACTGTATGGAGAGAGTGACCTCTGATTCTGTAATTGGCCATCTTCATGGTAGACACTAAAAATACCCTTATTGCCCAGATTGCTTCTCAAAAGCTTTGACAAGCTGATTTAAAAACAAGTTTTACAAATACAGTAGGTACCGTCAGTGTAAAGTGCTAGTAACTGAAGTAAGCAGTGTATATTAAAGTGTGCAGCATGCTAGATACCTGCCTTATTGGTTTTAGGTTGTCTGTCCTATAAAATGCTAGAAAATGTATTAAAAAATTGCAAGATATTAACTTTGGAAATATACATTAAGAAAATAGAATGTAAAACCTAAAAAGATTGAAACTTGTGAACTATTTCTCCATCTTTGAAATGTTTCAACACCATATGCACTTCATTTACAATGTCCATAAAACTATGTTAGAAGTCATGCTTTTTTCTTTCATACAACAACATTACTTTCCTCTCATGGTTTCTGATTTTGTATGCTTCTACTGGTGGAATTTAACAAAATATTAAAATGCAGTTTTTCAGGGAAGAAATATAACAACCACATAAACTACTTAATTACAATAACAATCCAGAATGCTATGCTTTTGTCACAAAGGGGGAAATATAAGGGGGGAAAGCTGAAAAGCTGATTAAAGAGCAGGTTTAGAGTTCTGTAAGCAGTTCTTTTCTTTTAGGTCTTTAAATTTTACAGCTAAGGGAGTACAATCTTTATAATCAGAAATAATAAGGAAGCTAATTTCATGTGAACTGTTCTGTTTTGGAACCCTCATTCTTGTCTATGTTGGACAGTCTTTGCTTCTCAGTATAAGAATGCATAATTATATGTATTAATGGGCAACATTCATCTCTATCCTGCATAAAGCAAACTGCCATCTGAGCAAATGTAGTGTGGTTCTCTTGCAGCTTTAACTGTTCACTGCTCAAAATTCAGTTTGTCTTGACTTCTCCTGTATTGTGGGCAGTTCTGTCTGTACCCTGCTCCTGTGCGCTAGACGTTTACTGTTTTTTTTCCATCTTGAGAAATAACAGAGGAGTAAAAGCAGTAACTTTTTTTACTTGAATCCTAACAACACTGAGGAAATGCAATGTAATCAAACAAAACCATTTACAAATGGTGAAGCAAGCTGTGCAGCCCAGTGCTATTAAAGCAATGATGTGCCTATTAAATAAAATCTGCTTTTCAAAACCTTATGAGACTCTGTCATTGACAATCACCTTGTGGTTCTCTTTAAGAACTGGAAACATTTCTGAACATCAAAGGAGTTTTCAGATGCTAAAAGTTCAAAGTATGTCACACATTTCAATGCATTTTGTTTGCATGAACAACAGTCTCTGTGTGCTGGAGAGACAGGTCTGGTTTCATGAAGAGAGATGGAGCTCGGAGTGAGTGGGAGAGTGTCCATGTAGGTCACCTGAGCACAGATGTCCGTAGCTTGTTAGGCTCCAAGCTTAGATTGATTTCAGTGAGACTTAGGCACTACTGCTTTTGAGGACATTTGCCTTTACTGTATCTCTCTTTTTCCTCGTGCAAAAAAAAAGCAGATTTTAACTTTGCAATGGTGGCCTTTGGAAATCTATGGATGGCAAGCATTAAAAATCTGTGTGTGATTTCAATCCCAAAGCATGTTAAGGTGCATGAAGTGGGAGCAATTTCAAAACAATCCTGGAGGAGACAGGCATTGACCAAATACCTCTTCCTCCTCCATCTTGTGTACAAAGGCCAGCAGAGGACTTACTAGGGCTAGGATCACATCTACAGTGCATATGCAGCCTTGCACACAGCCAGAAGCTGCTRCTGCCACTGCTGATACTGACATGGTGCAGTGCCATCTCCTTCTGTGTTGACAGTGCCTGTACAAGCTAAGTCAGGATGCTCTACCTTAAAGCAAATCTATTTCCACCTAAATGACTGCTGGTCAGGCTGAATCCTATTAAAAAAATAAATCTGTATCTCTCTCATTGTCACAGTTTAATGCACCTGGAAGAATAAAACATTGAGCTTCTGAATGTGGCACAAAAGTAAAATGTCAGTGCTACAGGTAGGATTATGCAAAAAAATTATCACAAAGACAGTTTATATCTGACACCTCTGTCAAGTGTTGTTCATGTTCTCTATCCAATAAATTTTCTATTGTGATATTATTCCTATTTTTGATAGTGTGGAAGGGACTTCTAAACTCCTCCTTTAGCTGTGTTCTGTTGATCAAAGCATGCAAGAGATAATGTTATCAGCAACAGAAAAAAAAAACAACTTTGCCAAATGATCTTTTCAATCCTATATCAGGTTTCTAATTTCTAAAATAGACTGAACAGAACCAGCAGCTGAGAGCTGCAGGGATTAATTATCCATTCACACTTGCCTAAAAACATTAACCACAATTATTACTTTCATGTAAAATGAAGATGTATCATAAAATTATTTCTCCCAGCATCAATATAAGCAAACTGTTTTATTTTACCCTAAAGAGGGTAATCCTCAAGGTTCTTTAAAATATTCTGTGATCACATTCAGGGGCTATGGGTTTTACAGAGATTTTCTTTTCCTCTACGACTCTGTTTTTAGTAGGTGATATTTGTATATTTCTGCAGGATCACTTTTCACACTGGGAATCAATATAGCAACATTTTCTGTCCATGCACTTCTGACAGCAAACTAATTTTATTATAAAAAAAGTACAGTAACCGAATCCAGGGTAATGAATGTGCCAATCACAGGGGCCAAATCAAGGTTCAGTAGCTGGAGGTAAAACATTATTTTGATGATCGTATAAATGAAGGTTGTAGAATAAATTACAATTCACAGAAGTCAGTAAGATTTTAAGTTGCTTTAATGACTGTAATACAGATGTCTTCTGTGACTTTAGATAAATACAACAGTTCTTTAAAAAACACTTCCTTCCTGCCAAAATAATTTTGATTTTAAAGTAATCATTTTTAGACAGTGATTTTTTAAAAGGGGCTGATAGAGGTAAAAATCTGCTGTCAGCTCTATGCTACCTTCACACCTCCCTTCTTTGTACACACAGTTTCCAGCACAGTTTTCTTTATCCACTGACCACAAAAGGCTTGGGCCAAAGCTGCTCCTAGAGGCTTGAATTTTAATCAGAAAAATCCCGTTGTTCAGTTTCGGGGTTCTTGGAGGAGATTATGTCCTTTAATTCAGGTTGTTCATGGTGTCTGTAAAGATTATCCCAGACACAAGTGGTCTCACGGAAGGAAGAAAATAGTTCCTGTTAATACCTGGATTTGGATGGTAAGTAGATTCCTTTCTTGACTGAAATAGCTTGTGTTTGAGACCAGTCCTGTAAGGATGCAGTTGTTTGATCATCACTAGTTGAACAGGCACTTTGGAGCATGCTTTCATCACAGTAATGGCATAAACATTTTTGGTAGGCTTCCACAAACAGTTTCAGTAATATTTAATGAGAAAATAATACCTATTCATTACTTGTGCCACTCTTTTCCAAGTTTCATGGTTAACAAACTACACTTACTTGCTTGTGCATCAGTCTACCTTTTGCTTGTGTTCAGAGGGTATTTTATTGGGGGAGCCACTTCAACAGTGTTAAGCCTGGACTATAGACAGTTGTTAGCATGTTCTGGTGAGATTCTACTTGTTCTAGAACAAATATTTTTATATCGGAAAACTGACTATTCTAAGCTTGATTTTATTTCATGTTACTCTCTTTTTAAAATGTGCAATTCCTTTCTAATTTTAACCCGAGGTGTGGGCTGCCACACAAGTCTAGCTCTGCTTTTTCCATGATCCCATTTATTTATAAATAGAACAGTTCTCTGGTCTGGTTAGCATACTGGCTGGGAATACATATTTAGAGTGCTTAGAACTGTAGATTATCCCCTGGAGCAGCAGCCTGTATTTATATTACCTTGAAGTGATTGTGTAACTGTGGAATTAGGGACCCAGACACCCACTTTCACTGAAAGTCCTTTATTATTTGCAACAAAAGAACATTTATGAGCAGACCACAAACCTTGAGTGAGTACTAGGAGTGCCTCTCATTTCCCTCATTAATTAAGGCAGCTATATTAAAAAATAAGCCAAATCTTTTCCATGTATGAGCTTGACTAGGATTTCATATTCTAATCTTCAAAAGAAATTCCTCTGCTTATTTGCTAAGTTTTGGGAAATTTCATTAGCATTTGTAATACTGCTTTTCACAAATTTGTTTATCAGCATCTTGCTTTCATTACTTGGAAATCAAATCTATTGGACGAATGTCCTGAGCGGATAAATGTCCTGAGGCTATTTTACCACCCATCCATCCCTCATCTACTTGCACCTGGCTGTTTTGTTTAAAAACCTGGCTGTTTTATTTGGCCCCAACTCATGGAAACTTTCTTCCTTTCAGGATTCCTGTTAAAGCTTTGAGTGAAAAATGACCTTGAGCACTGTCCTCGGAAGGAGTGCTTATCCTATGCTCTCCTGAGCTGAAGCCTTCCAGCTGCATAAGGGATACTTGTGGCAGAAGCCCAGGTATAGAACAGCTCTTTTGGCTCAGACACTGTAAGTCCTGTTTCAGGTTTTAGCTGGTCTGCTGATTAGACTGAATGAGAAGAAATGTTTAATGCATAAGCTGCCAGCAAGTCTGGCCTTGATTTGGATGGAACTGCCTATACAGACACAGGAAATTAATATAATAAAAAAAAAAAAAAAAAAAAAACCCAAACAAAAAAAAAAAAAAACCAAAAAAAAACCCACTCTTAATAGCAAAGAATGGCTGTATCAAACATCTTGTTCAGACTTGTATCCTGGCTCCACCATGACGAACTGGAGGAATAATGGAGAAGTCTAAAAACAAGACAGAATGTGGCCATGTGTGCCCAAAAGAGTCTCCAAGCAGACAGTAATTTGTGGATCACAAACTTTTGGAACAGTGCACTGATGCTAAAAATTTAGTCTGGTTTTTGCCAAAGTATTATATCTGCTTTGAGAGCTCTTTTTGTATTCCTTTCAGTAGGACCTACGGCATCTATAAACTCTCCACCAGCCTATTGGAGATGCTTGAAGAAAAGAACTACTTTTCATTTCTTTATCTTTTGCAAACTGTCCCCCAAAATCTTTTTGGTTGCCCTGGCTATCTCTTTACCTCCTGGAAACCTACCAGAATTAATATGGACATGATGCCGGATTTCTGAAGGATGTTTGCAAAATGCAGGCAACACAAGAGAGAGGAAATACTACATCCTGTGAAATAAGTCCCAGTCACAGTTTTGACAAACTCTTTAGGAAACCTATTTCAATGAAAATGGGACACCCAGTAATGTTCAGAGGGTGCCCAAGCGAGTGTGATGAACATGGATGGCAGACACAATGCTGCAGACACCACATCCCTGAGATCCTGCCTACTTCTGCTGTCATTAAACCAAAGGCACAGAATTTAACATTGGGTAGTGTGCTGAATAACAGTCTTGCTGTTATCTGTGCAGCCTCTAGGGCCAACACTCCATGGCAGCTCTAACTTTTGCCTTTGTGATTTGCTAATAGAATGTGACAAGGCCTGATTTGCCACAGCAAGCTGGCAAATACCCATACTGTCTAGCAAACACTGTTGCTTCTCAGCAATAATGACTGTATCATTATCAGAAGCGACTTGTGGGCTTGAGGGGTTGAAATGTCAGTATTTTGATATGTAAATAAAAAAGTACAAGTATCATTACATTCTTATCCATTGAATTATATTTAATTTTTTTGCCATTTTTCATTTTAGTATAGTTGCGTATGCACTTATAAGAAGCTGAAATTATGCTTGTGGCAAAAAGACAAATGTAAACTTTATGTTATATAAAATCTTATGTTTATATTAAAAAAAAGACCACACATTTTAAACATTTTTCATTCTTCTCCTTAATAAACAGCATATTTCTATCAGCCACCTAAACTTGAGAAGACTGACCCCAATGGCATTCCAAATGAAATGTTTTGATTATTGTTGTGCAAATACCTTCCATCTGTCAAAAATGAGTAACTGGCTTTTTCATCTTCTTCCAGCATGAAAAACTGAAAACCTTCATTTATGACCCCACCTGACTGCCCTGGCACTCTCCCTCTTCTGGGAGCTGGAGCAGATTTTCTGTAAGACTCATTGTTTCTTCAAGCCACACCATGAATCCAGCTGGCTTGGCTGGCCTTATTTGCAAGGAACAACTGGA